TGTAGTTACTTAATAACTATCCACCATCTCTGGACAGCCTGAGGAACAGAAAAGGAGACCACAGTTCACCATGGTGGCGTTTCCTCACTGGTGGCAACGCATGAGGAGAAACGTTGACTGAGTCCAAGTCCATGTATGGCACAAGCCAGAGCTGGAGACAGGAGAGCTGTGTTAGTTCAGTGCAGCCTCTCCTCCCAAACCTGGCTGCTGGGGCTTCTGTACCTTGCTTCTTCCAAGCCCCTCGTTGTACCTGTTTGATGGGCAGCACAGCCCCCAGCCCTGTCAGGCACACAAAACACTCAGCTCATGGGTGCAGGCTGAACCAAAGAGCTCTGGAAGTTTAAGCAACCTGAAGCCACAAGGCTTTTTGCACAAAAGGAGCTTCACACACTGATGAGCTCCAAGCCACAATTCCACACTACACAGATTCACTGTTGCCATGCGGTGACAGAGACACAACTGCAGTCCACCACCACCAGCTCCTTGGTGCTATCTCCAGTCAGGGTGGCCCCTGGTCCTCACCCCACACTCAGCTGCTGCGGGACAGAGTGCTGTGTGCACTCTCCTCTGTGCAGAAGCTGTGACTTGCTTCAGCAGCAAAAGCCACTTCTTCCCTGAAAAATAATCACCTTTTCCCTTGGGTGCTGAGTCCCATCACCTCATTCCCTGTGTCTGCAGCCCACCTTGGGAAGAACTATGGATAAGGAAAACGAAGGCACCACTGCCCTTGAAGGGGCAGACGTGCCTCACGCCACTTTGGGGCAGTGCTTAAAAAACGCCTGCAACAAAACTAATGTCACCAACCTCATTTTACCTTCCCCGGCTGAAAATATCAACATGTGCGTGTGGGAAATTTGTCACGCAAGCTGACTTTGGAGAAGATCCCTAATTAAAGGAGCAGGGTCTCCATGGAGAGGTGTTACGTAAGGGACTCCACTTGCCATTAACTTCCACCGACCAAGGAAACCCGAAACCCCGCGGAGGTGAGGCAGAGTAACGGCGCATGGAATTTTTATTTAGCAGATGAGAGACAAGTGTTACAGGACAAGTCCTCAGCAATCTCCTCCGCTGTCAGTCATTTGCCAAGGTTGCTTTAGCAGAGCAGAGCTCCCTGTGCTGCCGCGTGTGCAGGGAATGGACCGAGTTTTATCCCTTCCCGAGGAGACGCAGTTCCACAAGCAAGGCACCTGCCATGCCAGCTCGGGCACAGGGAACCCAAACCAGCACCCCAGGGACAGGTGCCTCCCTGGATGCAGGGCATGCTCCCCCTCGGAGGAGAGCGTGGGGCATCCTCCCAGGGCTGCTCCGTGCAGAACCGCTGACTGCAGCGCTCCCGAGGTGGATGCTGAGGGTTATATAAATTAATAAAGGGGTTGATGTAATTTGCAGTTCAGTGAGCTGCACTGTTTGTCAGGTTAATTTGTTGGCTGGTGCTGACCCCGAGGTTCCACCTCTGCCTCTGTGTCCGTATAAATGAGGGCAGGCTTCCCACCGAGACCCAGGGCTCCCGCTGAGCCACAAGCTCACGGGACACAGCCATGACAATGCCACCACCAGCCCTGCTACCAAAGAACCTGACAGGGTTTTTAAGTGAATTCCAAAAACTAAAACCCAGAAAGTTTCCATCCAGAGAGGCCTAAGTGGGCAAAGACCTTCCCAGAACAGCTCATTTGCCACATTTACCCCTCTAGCAGAACACAGTGGCGTGGGATTCACTGTGCCACATACCAGCTCAGCCTCCTTCCTAAGGGAAACCAGGAATATTTTTTTCTTGTCCTGCTTCTCCCCCACATTAATCTTCTTAACAATACAATAAAAATCCCTCCTGCCAACTAGAATAAGGAACATCTTTAGATTTGCTTTCTTGCAAGAGTTGGCAACCACCTACTTTGCCTACCCTTAATATTGGCCCTGCCTCTACCTAATGAAACAGCAACACCTATTCCAGTTATCCCTTCCCAGCATCATGGGGATCTGTTCTCCCACTGAAGCTCATGGGAGTTACCCGGGAACTCCCATTATTAACCATATTACAATCATCATGTGCAAGTTCCTGTGTGTTGGTACAAACCCTCTGCTTCACTTCAGGCCGAATTAATTTCCCGTGTGAAAACCTGGAGTTAAGAAAATGCCATGCAGGGGTGACACATTTCTGGCCTTGCTGCCAAAAAGCCTTTTTTACATAACCTGTCCCTATCCCACCAGCTTCCTATTTTCAAAGGCCTGTAGACAGAAGTAATTGAAGTTCATTAAAAATTATTCAAACTGAGCACAGAATGAACTTGTTCAGAATACTATAAATCAAAAGCCGCTAATAATAGGGGAAAAAAAATCATGAAATGAAGATAAACTGCGTTAGACCTCAAAGAAAAGTTGGCTGGTTTGGCTAGGTCAACTTTCACAATGACAAATGGACGTGATGCAAAACGAACACAGTTATTAGTCCAAAGACTGAAGATGACTCTTCCACTGGTAGTTACTGGAAGCTGCTGAAAAACTTCAGCAAATCTACTCTGCAGGTTGCAGAGTCTGCCAAGCCCTACCTACCTACTCTGCAGAATTTACCAAAAGAACACAGATTAGAGAAAGATCAGGATAAAAGACACAAAGTATTGGGTTCATTTTTGTAAGTGCATCTAGTTTCCATAAGCAGACAAATGTTGCAGTGTATTTTGTAAGAATGAAATCCTACTAAGTGGGAGACCATCCCTTTGCTGCCCTCAGTAGATCTCGACTGTGCTGTAGCCAAAAGCTGCTGCCTAAAAAACATCAGCTTTGCAGACTAGCAAGTGCCCACAGAGCTCTCCTGAAAGCTGGGCTGCACCAGAGCCCTCTGCACAGAGCACATCAGCCACTCTTCCTACGTGGAGACAGCAAAGCTGGATTACCTGAGTTCACCGTCTCAGGATACCAGTCTGACTTGGCCATCACATCATTCAGCAATTACTTGGGAGATACAGACCCAAACTGATGATTTTACTAAAGAGCAAGCCTCCACCTTTTCTTTGATTCCCAGCTGTTCTCCCAGAAGTTAAGCTTTGTGGTTGGTGTTTTTCCCATTGAAGTTCTACTCACTTGGCTCTCATGACTAAAACCCTACTGAGAGATCAGAGTGCTGAGTACAGGCTGTTCCCAACTGCCATTGCCGTCATCCCCACAGGCCCTGACTGTGCCGAAGCCACTGCGAGGCACCAGAAAACACTCTCCCCACCACCAGCAGTTTAACCAATGCAGAGGGAAGCCAGGGAAACATGTCTGAGCGCTGATAAACCCTCTTTTTTGCCTTTTGCTGTCAAGCCCGTGGAGCGTTCCAGCACAGAATATCTGCATCCCAACCGCTCCACGGGATATTTTCAATAACATCTATGTGTGCTTTGCATGCATGAGTAAGAGCTCCTGGGTGTGTCCGAGCCCTCAGAGCTCCCAGCATTAGCTGTAGGCACCACGAGTCATTTGGTTCCTAAAACATTTTGTACTTAAAAGCAGCCCACACTACACCAGAGCCCCCTCCCAGCCCGTCCTGCCGCACCGGAGCACGTACACGCACCGAGTGAGTGCTGGCTGCCCAGAGCACGTCCTAAAGATACCTGCCAAGCACTTATTCCTGAGTGGGAAAGCACGGAAAATAGTTCCTCTGGTTTGTGGAAGCACCACGTATGTATACAGGCTGGAGAGCAGCAGAGCCTGGCAGGAGTGTGTGGTGCGGAGGCGTCACACGCTGCTCCGAGCATCCCCTGCCAACGGCTCCTTGCTGACCACAGGGTTATTGTACAGCCTCCCAGCTACGGACAGCAAATGCAAACCAAACCATCTCCTTTTCTGGTGGAAAAGACGTCTTTGGAGGCAGACTGCAGGTTTCCCTGTTTGTTCTGACCGGGCGAACTATGGAATCTGCTCCCAACACGGGTTCGTGCTCAGTGGGAGGTGACTTTGCTCAGTCCATCCGTGCTGGGGTCCAGCACAAGCAAAGGATCTCACCACATCAGGCTGGTGCAGTTTGTTTTTCCTTCCAGCATGACAGTGTGAGGTTACCTGAGGCTCCCTGAGAGCTGGGAATATGAAAGCTCAGCTTCCTTTACATTAGAGAAGAGCAGGAAATTTAAAGGAGTGACTGTCCCCAAGGAATGTTAATCCTGTCCTTGCAGTTTAAGGTGACGTAGGATTTTCAACACTCAATTCCCACTTTGTCTTCTACGAAGAAGCTTCACTTCAGAGCATAGACACAGGGGAAAAAAAAGGGGTACTGATTACAGGGACAAGCAAAGGAGCCCAAAGACATTCCCTGTCCTCTCAAGGGAAGTTTGCATGGACACAAGAGGTGCTGCTGTAGGGATCTAGTGTGTGTTTTAACCTCAGTGATCAATTATAACCAGTCAGGATTCAGCCCCACAGACAGTCTGCAAACACAGCACATGCAGAGCCAAAAGAGTAAGATACCACATGTACAATCATCTTTACAAGCATGTTTTTCTGCAATAAGGTTTTACTTTCTCTTTGGAAGAATAATGTACAAGCTTGTTGTTGTGTATTCATTACAATCCACACCAGGCACAATTTTCATTTAGGGAAATCAAATCCTTATTGAAAACACAAAAATGAAGACCAGCAAGACTGCAGGAGAACAGCAGTGGTCTGGAGTTTACCATACACTTATTTCAAATTCCAGTCTGAAATCTAACACCTCGTTGTAAAAGTCTGAGCACACTGCAGTTGCTTAAACTTATTTGTAAGAGCAGTCAGTAACTTACCTACAAAGCTGTTTTATTAGACATTCCTCTATACTGCCCTGGGGAACACCTCAGTTACCCAATGCCCATGCAAGCATTTAATAAGTTGACTTTTGCATGGTAGACACTAATATTTCCCAAAATTACAGGTCAAAGATCCTTTAGTCATTTCCCCTCCCATCTCCTTAAACTCCTCAAGTTTCCTGGATTCCATAATAACACTTCCCTTCCCAACATGGTACAGTCATGAGAAGAAGTTTTCCGTTTCCTTACCTGTATCGTGGTGTTCCCACCTTCCAGCAGGGCAATGGCTAACAGGATGCTCTCATGGAAGACTCTGTCGCTGGTGGCATTCATGATGAGATCTATGACCAGGTTGGATGCACCTTCTTTATCCAGATGACACTGGACATCTGCCAAACTCATCTCCCCTCTGCTCATTGAACTCGATCCGGAGCTTCCTCCTATAAAGGTGATCATGAGAAACAGGCTGAGATTGACCCCACGCTGATGGCACCTCTCTTCAAGGCCAGGTTGGACAGGGCTTGGAGCAACCTGGTCTAGTGGAAGGTGTCCCTGCCATGGCAGGGGGTTGGAACGAGGTGGGCGTTAAGGCCTCTTCCAACCCAGACCAGTCTGGGATTCCATGACTATTGACTTTTTGGCAGTGGTCTCAAATTAAATAAACTGCACTTTATAACTGACTTCAAACACAATTTTCCCTCATCCTACCCCTCAGTCTCTCTGGAATACCATGAAATGGTTTTGTTCCAGATACGGTTAATAATCTGACATCCTTATAAGCACATTCCTCATATATTAATTAAATTGATCGGGATTTCTGAGTACATTTATTCAAAGCAACATCACAAACTTTAAGCCAACCCAAGGCAGTCTCTGGAAAGCATAAAAAGCTGTCTGCTTCATTTTGCTGCCTCAAAGGCAGTCATCCATGTGGACGGCTTCCTTGGTTTTGGGAGTTCATAGAGGAGGACAGTGAGGGGGGGTGGATTTTAAAAATCCCTGTTTCATGTGTAAGGTGCCGATTTGTGGGGCAGACACAGCCACAGACCACGGGGCAGGGCAGAGCACAGGCCCCACGAGGAGCAGCAGCAGGTCCTACCTCCCGCCCCGGCCTTGCCGGTGCCGCCAGCGGACAAGGGCCCGTTGCCGAAGGTGGTCAGGCTCTCCCGCCGTCCCGCAGGCCGCACGTTGCCATAGTAACGGTTGACCAACACTTGCCTGAGCGCCTCACCCTTGATTAAAGAGGAGAATGAAATCATGATGTGAGCTTCAGGAACGAACAAACAAACCACTGCTGTTATTGTTTGCCTTCTTGTGGTGAGGGGGGGGGAACCGAAACCCTGGAGATTGGGAAAAATCCACCGAGTAACTCCCGCTGTGCTCGGGCAGGCTGGGACACCGGGGGGTCTCATGGGGCTCAAGTGAGATTACGGGTTCCCAGCACAGGAACAGCTCCAGGTCAGGTTTTGTGTAGAGCTCTCTAGATAGATTTTGTTCTCAAAGAGGTTGTTTTGTTTTTTTTTAAATTAAGTTCTACTGTCTTGGTCTTAAATGTAAAAAAGTTGCGTCTGTACAGTACCAACACAAAATTAAGAGGTGGATTAGCGCAAGAGGAACATTAGAAATGATGCTGTGAGGAGCAATCCCATCTTCCCACACCTATCCCATTTTGCCATTTCACCAGCTTTACAGGGATGTGCTCCTTTCTCCCTCCATCAGCAGCTGCTGAGCGGAAACCCGAGCGATCCCGCTGAATCCCAGCCCTTTGTTCCCTGCTGGCAGCTGCCCCAGCCGCCGCTCACGCCAGCAGTCAGCATCCAAGCACATGAGCCCTGGACTCCACAGGGCACCAGTCCTCAGATAACCCCAAATCCCGGGAGCGCCCGGAACGTCCCCCCCGCATGAGCCGCTGCGTCAGCCCAGAGCAAACCACCTCCCAGGGCAAACAACCCACGGGCCCTGCACTGCTCCCGCTCCAGTCCTTACAGGAATTCCCAGGAATTCGGGGAACTGGACAAAGCAACGAGCAGCACACAAACACCACACCGGGATTAACGGGTTTTTATAAGGTCTTTGTGCACAAAGGAAAACTGGGGATTATTGTAACCGGGAGCTGCTGCTGATGGCAGTGTGGTCACAGCAGCACCACCCTGGACAGTGCTTGACAGGGGAGGGAGGGGCTTTTTTGGGGATTCAATACATAAATAATAATTAAAAAAAAAAAAATCTAGCCAAGAATAATTTCATATTAAAAATATGTCAGGAAGAACTAAAGTATCTTATCTTTATCTCCACTCGCAAAACACACGCTTGTCACTGATTTTCAACTGTATTTCAAATGAAATTAGTTGTCTGACTACAGAGTCAAGATGTCATTTAATATATTACCTGACATAAAAATAAAGTCTTACTTTTTAAACTTTCACAAGAGGCCTTTAAAACACAAATAAGTAAATGGAGCAACATAAATGTGCATTAATGGGCTCATACAGAACTCCAGCACTGCTGCAGTCACACTGCTTTCATGCAAAGCTGGCACTCACGAAGGTAACTTCAGGAAATCCTTAAACCACCCCCCCAAAAAAAAGAAAAAGACAAAAACCTGTCTGGAAATTAAGTTCTTTACCAAATTTCAGGTATCACTTCCAAAGGGAGAAGCTCGACATGTGCCTGGAGCTGGTGAGGGATCACTGCCCTCCCTGCAGGGCTGGGGCTCAAACTGGGGCTCAAACTGGGGCTCCCACCACCTGCTCCTTGTCACCACAATTCAGCACCTTAAAAATTGTTCCTATGGATTATTAGTGTGAAAGCTGCAGCATGGGAGCTGCATTTTATGGGATCAGATGGGGAGGGAGCAAGTGCCAGGGAGACAGGTTGTAAAATAAACACGAGGAGAGCATTCCAATCAGCTGCTTCCAAAAGTCCCAAAAAAACAGAAAAAAAAGGAAAATTCCTGTGGAAGCAACAGTACAAGGAGATGAGCACTCTTCCAAGGGGCATACGCTTCCCATCACCGCTTGGGCCAAAGAGTGAACATGTAGGAGAGGCAAGAGACAGTTCAGGAGCTCCAGCAAATTCCTACCCCGGAGGAGCGCCTGTGACTGACAGCGACATTCGAGCGTTGGGTACACGATGTAGAGCTTTATCCATCCCCCTGCTCCCAGTCTGGCAGGTAAGGAAGGCAACATGACAGAACAAGGCCAAGCCAGACAAAAAAAACCCCTGAACTACACCTTCCCTCTACACATGTCCCGATTAGAAAGGAAACTTGATACCCACATGAGCCCTACGACAAAATGAAGTTACAAGGGAGTTCTCACATTACCTTTTCCCTCTGCTGTTGAACTAATTGTCAGTCATCATATCAACTGGCATTTAAACCAGTCATTTTTACTACTTACTACAGAGATAACACACATCCATCCACAAGAAGGGCTGCTCACTGAACTCCACCTCCTCCTGAATTCAGGGGGGTAACTAAAGCTCCTGGAGTTGTGTCCAGATTTTCCTTCTGGCCCATTGTGGAGCAGAAGGTGACTTCTATTCCATGATCAAAATAGTTGGGGTGAGTGGAGACACCTGACCAAGAGGACCTCTGGTGCCTGCAGGAGTTGTGTATCCAAAACAAGACAAAAATCACCGGAAAATACAGGTAGGAATAGGTGTCAAGCAGTTGCTTCTAGTCTGAGAACGTGCTCATCCATGGGTTTGGAGGGCTGGCAATACACAGTCACCAGCATCTCAAATTCTATCTGGGAAAAAAAGCTTTGCTTCCTCCAGATTTATGCAAACCCACCATGTTAGCTAATGAAATATCAGTATGTGATCAAAGTAGAGGGGAGAAGAAAAAAAAATCAGTGGTATTTAAGAAATGTTCCAATTAATTCAGCTGCAATGCTTGGCTCCAGAACAGTTCTTTAACCATCCTGTCAGTGCTGTGCACCACTTTGATGTGGGTAAGGTGCAAACAAATATCAGATGTTTGGCAATAATCAGAAAAATCAAATATGGTACCTCGAAAAAGCCCAACAACATCCAGTTTCATCTGTGTTCACCCTCAGGTAAACTAAGTCATATACAAACATTTCTGTGCATGTATCAGTAATGCAGATGCAACACACAACTCTAAGTGATATCAGAAACCTGATTAAAACAGAGAATCTTGGATAATATTTAAAAGTGAAGCAGTTATAAGTTGTTGTTGCTGTTCTGTTCCCAGCTACAAGAGTGGAAGAAATGGAGAAAGGCATTAATGACATGGATTTTGCAGCATGGGTTACAAAGAGGTGGTGTGGCCAAAGCAGCCAACTACACAAGCACTGATTAATGTCACTTCATAACTGAGTGATCACCACCAAAGGGGAGAGTTTTGACAGTGTGAATGGACTGGACCAGGATCTGAGGTTTAACTGGAGCTGCCAAGCACTTGCCCCTTCCATGTAACACAAGGGGCACCAGCACCCCCTTCATAAACATGGCTCATCATTTTAGGTTTTCCAAGAGCAGTTAACACACAAGTTTCTTACATAACTTAGGCTTCACTGTTTAAAAGGAAAAGGTTGAGGGTTAGTTCTGAACGTGCTTGACTGCTGTACATACCCTTCTATGATCCTCCAGTTGCCTCTGTGGTAGAGTTTGATCAAGCTCCTGCTGTGCGTGCAGAAATTTCATTTTAAAGCAGAAAAACACTCAAGAGACACCAACATCTTGGCACTCAGGGGGAATACTAAGGGAAGTCACAGTTGAATGCAAGGGGGGAGATGAAGAAGATGGACTGACAAGCTCTCAAAACAGGACATCTGCCCTCAGTTGGCCCTGGCAGCACTTGTCCTCTCGGACACCTTATCACCCCGCAGCCCACCACAGCATGCACGTGTGCCAACATTCCCCTGGAGTCAGAGGGAACACAGGGTCTGTCTCGTTGTACAGTCACCAGTAACACACACAAGTCCCCAGGAGCTCAGCCCACACATGCCCATGCACAGACACACAGGTACACCCCACCCCAATGGACACACACCTCTGGGGACGGGAGTGACTTCAACACATCTCCCTGTGGTCAGTGAAGCTCGTTTGAGACTGTGGAGGGCCCCTGGAAAAACCTGGGGGGTTCCCTTCCAACACCAGGGCCCTCAGGGGGTGTCACTGAACAGAGTCCCTCGGCACGTGCATGTTTCCAAATCAAATCTCTCTTGCTTCAGATATTAATTTTAAGAAATGGAACTTGCAGTTTGCAAACCTGAAGCACATGAAGGTTTTGTTGTTTTAAAGCATCTGAAAATGTGTAGAACTCTCCAGGGACCCATCTTAAACCAGGAGCCATCTCCAAAACATCTCAAAGGCCTTCGATGACCACTCAGAGTTTTGGTTTACATTTAAACACTATTCCACAAAAATTACAGATACAAAAGTCTGAACCACCACAAACATTTTTTTCCTTCATGATCTCAAAATATATTTACAACCTTCCTGTCTATATAGCTCACAGAATCAACAGTGTCCTCGATTAAGATTTTCAGGTTGTTTCACTCGAATTTGCACTAATTTGGCACTCAGCTGTACGATTTACCAATGCCATCTCTGGATGTGCCATTAATTTCCAAAGAATTTGAGATTTCATAAATTTTCAAGTCTTCATTTTGAAAAATAATCTGTTTTATGCAAACTGATACTGGGGTATCTCACAAAGGACATGCTCCCACACATCCAATTCCCCAGAGCCAGGGACCCTGAAGATGTGAAGTGACCACGAGCTGCTCCACTGGGACATTTTAAATGGGACACCAGTTGCTCTGGGGTTATGAAGCTTCCACTAATAACTTCTGACACCTCCATTTCCTTTACGTTTTTAAGTATGTTAGAAAAAGGGAAAACCAAATTCTGCATTAGGAGCCAGAGAAACAAGATCTCATTTTGCCAATGCAGGGAAATTTGAGAGGAGTCTTCTCACGGCGTCTCCCTTGGAGCATAAGGGAAATGGCTGAAAGGAACAAAGATTTGGGACTAATTTACATGGGTTTTTTATATTTCCAGACTACCACGCTGAGGCTGTACTGGATTAAGCCACTCGAACAAATCTACTTATTTCCACTGTCTAACACCACGCAGCAACACACATTTCACAGGGTTTTCACCAACAAGACACTCCACTAGGACTACTTAAACACCAATATTTGTGTGTTGTACAAATATAGGTGGTGACACACCTCTACAGGGCTCTCCGTTTCGGGAGGTTGCGGCAGCTAGTTGAAAGTAAAATGCAGAAAAATTAGTCATTCTCCCAGAATCTTCCATCCCAACAGCAATCCAGTGGTCAACAGAGAGGGGAAGGGAGCTGGCAAAGCGCTTGACTTCAGCTGAATCATCACAAATGACTTATAGCCATAATTACTGTTTACACCCTCCCACCCTGCTCCTAAAAGGGCCACATCTGGAAAATTTCACAGGTATCCTTTGAACATCCCAACCTGCTTTGCATGAACTCCGAGGCACAAGCAAAAAGCTTTAGTTGCAGGTGCCCACAGCACTTTTGGGGACCACACACCTGGGATCTGTGACTTGAAGGCAGCACATCCATCCCGGGGGGGGAGGAGGAAGCCAGGGCTGCATGTCACAAAGGCAGCAGACTTATAATTTTACTTTAAAAAAATTGTTTTCGGTGGATTCTCATCTATAAACATATTTTCCTTGAGATAAAAGATATATGATGCAGAACCAAACAGGAGCAATGAAATAAGGGCCTGTATGGTGACAGCTTTTCAAATTTAAAATGCTGATCATCACACTGAAACAGATGAAGACAAGCAACTTTTATCTAGTCGAGCGTAGACACACAACAGAGACCTGAACATTCAAATGCAGCTGCCTATGGAACCGTGGGGCAACTGAGTTAACTCCTCGGAGCAGACACTCAGAAATCAGATGCTGATGATACAAACACCAAACTGAGTCAGGCCCTCGCTGGCTGTGTCTGCCCAGAGGCCACAGGACAGACAGACAGATGTCCACGGGCTGGGAGAGCACTGTGGAGCTTAACCCAAAACCTGCTGGGGAATGCTCCAAGGGAGAGGGAGGCCACCAGATCCAGAGAGATTCCACTTCCCAGGAAAGAGCCAGAGGAGTGAGTGTTTCCCCTGCAGTGCTCCTTGGCCAGGAAAGACCCTTTTCCATTCTCCTCCTAACAGACTTTCCTCCTGGCAGCTCCCATGGCCTCTGGTCGGTGCTTCCTTGCATTGTCACCGCTCCTGGAACCTTCTCAAGCGTGCAAACCACTCCTCTCCTGCTCCAATGGAAGCAGGGAGTATTTAAGCCAGAGGCCCAAGAGTGAACAGGAAGAGCCTCATTTATGCAGAGGAACACACCATTCCTGCCCTGCTCCCAGGCTGGACACCGGGAACGCCGTCCGGGTCATTAGGGAGTCCAGGCACATTGTTCTGCCTGCACACACCGTCTGCACAACCTGCTCCAGAGCAAGGGAAAATTCCTCCCTTCTCAAGGAGCCAACAGCAGCAAGGAAATTGGGCCTGTTCCACTGCAGGGGAAATGAGGTCCCTTCCTGCCAGGGAAGGGGATGCTGAAGTTGGCAGGTCAAGTGGACATGACTGCCACAGGATAACATGCCTGGACTGGGGATCCAAACACAGGTTTCCTTTCTGGGCACTGGAACAGGTTGCCCAGAGAAGCTGTGGATTCTCCATCTCTGGAAATGTCCAAGGCCAGGCTGGATGGGGCTTGGAGCAACCTGGGCTAGTGGAAGGTGTCCCTGCCCACGGTAGCGAGGTGGAACAAGATGAGCTTTAAGGTCCCTTCCAACCCAAATCATTCTGGGATTCCTGGGGTTACACTATGACCCCATTTTAACCAAACGTGTGTAACATTTTGCAGTTGAAAGGCAGCACAGATGAAGAACCATCATGAAATTAGTTTCATCTTTCCCAACTTAACTGGAAAAGGAAAAATTATGAATTGCAGTTCACAAATTCCTGTGCCTTCCCTCTGTGGTACAGAGGGCACGTAAGAGCCAGTCCCATCCACCCACCAGGGAGGAAAAGCCACTGCCCTGAGCAATGCCCAGGTGGATCACTCCAAAGCAGCACAGCCCTCATCAAACTTCCAGTAAGAATATAAACTCCAAATACTGAAATTTCAATTCTTTGAGTCAAAATGGCTTCAAATAGCAAAGAATTATTGACCTTGTGCTGCAAAGTATCAGCTTGTGCTTTACAAGAAGGATTGAACAGGTTGGGTCAGCAGCCTGAGGTAGTAATTTTGCAAGATTTCTCCATATACTTCAGCTCTCCAACCAGAAGAAAGTGATGGTCTGAGGGGCAGGGGCAGGTTTGTGCAATACTAAACAACACCAGGTGAGTACCATGGACACTGTGGTCAGCTTTTCAACTGGAACATAGTGGGTGGCCAGGTCAGAGTACAACATCTGTGCTTTTTATTAGCAGTAGGGAAAGGTCCTTTCAACTTGCTCTGCCAAACCTTCTCTTCCTTAGAAGCTTCCGCTCCCACAAGACTGACCAATAAACCACTCATCATCAGCCAGAACAGAAGTACAGCCTCTGACCTGCTGGTGACCCAAATGCTTCCAGCACCCATTTCCCCAACACAGGCCATGTGGGCTTCCCAGAACGGCCTTTATCTGACTCACCAGGGGATGTATCCCCTCAAAAACCATCCGAGCAAGGGACAGCTCCGGTGTGAATTCATGGCATCTCAAAGGATGAGGTGTGGATGAGTTTTCCATCCTTTTCTTTTATGGCTTTGAGGAAGGTATAAAAATTTTCCTTTGCTTTCAAAGTAACAATCAAGGTTAAAGTTATCTAATCTGTCTTGCACAGAAAATTGAAATAACTACCACTGTGGATAAAGAGTGGAAATGGTTTGAGGAAAAGCAGGAAGATTTTCATTCAGGTTTGAAGCCTCGGGATCGCTTTTCTCTCTATTTTTTTTAAACTCAGCTCTGTAGTAGACATCCAGACCACCAAGCAAAAGGCTTGAAATGCAATTAACCCCAAGCACTTTGAGAAAGCTTAGTCAAACTCAACTGATTTGGCTCTGTGATGAAGCAATAGTAAGGAGGGAGATGCCCTGAGCTGTGCAGGAAGTGGGTTCAATCACTGACAGGTTCCGTCTGGTCTCAAAATCTGTGAATTCAAGAAGTGACCCAACTCCATGTGTATGGCTTATCATTACTGGGGTGTTAGAAGAAGAGGTTTGGCAGAGAGGAGGAAATAAAAATAACAACCATAGAGTCAGCCAAATATCACCCTAAGCTTTAGATAGCCAGCTTGTACATCCAGATGCAAGGAACTAGAGTGGAGATCTCAGATGTATGTTATTCTGAAACCTCTGCCTTGGTTCCTGCATTGCTATCTCCAGTATCAGCTGGAGTTCCAGTGGGAATGGCTGTTCAGAATGAGTCCTGCAAGTCCCTTTCCACTTTTTCCTCCCTTTTCTGAATTTCTCCCCTTTTCTCTTTGAAGCACAGTCAGTACAGTTCTTCCTTGAAAGACACACAGCAAAAGCATCACCTCATCTGATGACAACAGATCAGAGCACAAATTATGCTGCTGTCCTCCATAACCCTTCAAAAACACTACAAAACTCCGTGTAGCTTCCTTGCCAAGTCTGCTTTGTCGGGTCAACACTGTTACCTTGTGGAACTGAGGAAAAATTTGGACAGGAAATTTCTAGCCCCTGCAGATGATCTGTAGGTGTTTGTCAAACAAGCATTTGACTTGCTACGGAGAAGTTTCAGGGCAGAGGGGAATAACTGGGAACCAGGAGCACTGAACTGCTTTGACAAACTTCCCACGTTACATCTCCCCCTGCACAGACCTGAGCCAACGCTGCACAAATTAAGCAGCAGCAGATGTGGAGCAGCACCTTGTCCTGGCACAAGTCTCTCAGAAGGCATGTGGGATTTCTGGGGGGCACAAGCAGCCCCCCCCAGCTCCCTCCAGCACCCACCTGCTCCCAGTCCTGGCACACCCAGACTGGGGATGTGTCTGAACATCCTCCCCCCTTACCTCAGGGAACTTGCAGAGACTTTGTGCACTGCCAGACAATGAGGTGGGAAATTTGGCATAAGGGCTGTCAGTGCCTGCACTCAAAGGTCACTGGGATCTGCCTACAGGAACGCCTTCCCTCATTTTCCACAGTTTTCAGTGGAGAAAGCACGTTTTACTTGGGCTGGGGTGTTCCAGGAGCCAGAGACCTCAGTCTCTGCCCTTCAGTGTGAGTGCAACCACTTCCTCCTCTCTAAATCCTCAGTCTTGCAGGACTTCTACAGTAACTAAACCTTCACAACACATTTTACAGCAGCAGTTTTAATTAACGAGTAAGATGGCATAACTATTATTGGGTTTTTTGATGACAAATAACTACAAGCAATGTTCCAGTCTCCTTTTCCAAAGAGCTCACCAATTCCAGTTCATGCAATAAAAACAGTCCAAAGACTGCAGGATTTCTCAAGGGGAAAAAAAATATAAGGCAGCCCACAAAAATTTATGAGAGCCTGCATTTCCTCTGCTCGAGACATAACAAGTGAAGCACTGTCTAAGTGCAAAATACACAAGAGAAATGACTGGAGTGAGCTCTCGACAAGGAAAATAATTCCTAAGTGCAGCTCTCCAGCTCTGAAGAGGTTAATGCATTTCCCAATTCCAATCAAAAATGCATAAAATGGCACCAATTTTGCACCTTATTCAGCCATCGGAGTTCTATTTTATCATTGATAAAGAGCACTGTTAAGGTTAATTCAGGCAACCCCTTTGAACCAGCATTTTCAGTTCCCTTTTCACCTACTTGAAACCTCAAGACCAAAGTGAAAAGGTGAAAAAAACACAAACCTAAACTCTATTGAGTGGGACTGCAGGTGTATATTGCTGGATAAAGCTGCATCAAAAGTGTCAGTACTGAATAAAAACAGGTAAAACCCCAACATAACCCTAAAAAAAAAATAACTAATTACATGGGAAACTCCGTGTGCTTATAGAGTTTTGCTGGATTTGGCTGTTTTGGTGTTTGCCGGCCCCTGCCCCATCCCTGAGGGGTGGGGGGGAAGCAGCAGAGCACCCCTTTTTCACCCTGAAAGATGAAAGAGAGCTGCAGTGGGGTGGGATCAGCGCCGGGGAGCAGGAGCAGCCCCCGGGCTCGGCCGCTACCGGCCTGGGCAGCGCTCCAGGGCCGCGGTGCCCGTAAACATCCCCAGCGCCTTTATTGGCAATCGCCGCTGAAGGTCACACATCAGCAGCGGGCCCAAATTCCAGGAAAAAAACCCTCTTCTTATGTAACTGCCGCCTGAATGTTGGCAGGTGCCCAGCGGAACAGCTCACTGCAATGTGGCTGGGAGGGGAGAAAGGAGAAGGGAAAAAAAAAGAAAGAGGCAAAGTAGGCCATGAGGCGGCACATTCGGCATCCTGCGCGTGCCACCTGCAGGTCAGCGCCGAGCGCTCGGCGGGGCAGCAACCAGAGAGCCGGGTCTGCTCCAGGAACCGGCTGGTTTAGTACCCAAGGCTCGCACTGCAGGTGGAAACTGGGCCACGGTGTCCCCGGGCACGGAGCTGGGCCGAGGAGGACGGGTGGGAACAGATCCCAAACGCCTCGGCGGGGAGGGAGCGCTGCTGTGGAGCTGCCCTGGAGCCCAGGGAGCCCATGGTGAAGCCCATGGTGGAGCCCGTGGTGGAGCCCGTGGTGGAGCCCGTGGTGGAGCCCACCGGGGCAGCCCCGGGTGGGAAACATCAGGAAATCTGCATTTGCATCACGCCTGGACCTTTCAGCGGGCTGAGGGTTGAATTAGAAGTAAATGAAGCTGTTGTGTCTAATCGCAAGCAGGGTTTAGTTATTCCCGGTGTGAGAATAACACTCGAGGGCACTCAGGGAAAAATTTAACTCGGCCCTGAACCTCTTCCCTGTGACACCAGCACAGGAACAGCTCCACCAGGAACAGGATTACAGCAGTTCCAGCCCACTGAGGAGTCCATCAACACAGGCTCAGCCCGAGGGCTTTTAAGGACAACACACTGCCCTGCCCAGGGGGTTTCTACTTTATTACCTGACACCTGCACAGACCCAATGTCAGGCCCAGCTTACGGAGCTCTTCAGCTCCTGATGCCCACCTGATGCTCCAGGAGAGGCAAAGAAGAGCCCCAGTGCACCCCAAAAGCCAAGCTCTGAGCAGACAACCCACTAAGACCAGGACAGAACCAACACGGTTTCCAGTTTCCCACGGTTTTGTTCTCTCTCAAAACAAACCATGCTTCTCATCCATCTCTTAGGATACCTTTTCTCCTTTTTATTTTAATACCAGCCTTACACAGCCCCTATCCCAAAGGTCTGCACACCTTGACAAGTTTACAGGAACCTGAATGTTTGAAAATGCTGCAGGATGACTCTCATTCTTGGTGAATCCTAATTTCTGACCCCAGAAGAAAACCTTTTACGTAAATCCTGCCACAGCAGGATGGTGCAGAGTTCAAAACCAAAACACACGTACAGGAGCTTAAAGATGCTCTTTCTGTATTTCTGCTGGAGCAGTTCATGATCCTCAGATATAGCACATGGAACTGCACTACCCTTCCTCTTCCCTTGCACTCCACTCTTCCAGCACCCCAAAACCCCAAAGCTCAGCTCAGGTCACAGCATTCACCATCCTTCCTGCAGGGGATTTCCTCCCATCAGGGTGAATTCCAGCATTATTCACCCACTTCAAAGGGCACTCCCTTCTTCACTCACAGAAATGTTAAGGGGGGCTGGAACACCTATTTTCTATCATGACTTTCACTAACATCTCCTGGAATTTTTAATATCCTTTATTATTTGGACCCACTGCCCACTGGAATGACCTTACAGTACACAACTAAGACAAATAACCTGCATAAACAACCACATAAGTACCATGAAATCGTGTCATAAACAGCTACTTCAATAGAGTTTTTCCCCAAGGGAATAAGGAGAATTTCAACTGATCAAAACCATTAAGTTGTGCGTAGTTTGATACAAAAGAAAGTTAATAATTTCACTAATAATGGAGATTTTTGTATCCTTTGCCCTAAATGTGTATATAATTTCCAGGGCTGACAAGGGGAAAAAAATAAAAGCACAAAACCCCAGGATTTCTGAGAATTGCCAGTGGTTCAAACTCCAACTGAAACTCTTTCCCTGAGCAGTCAGTGCTCAGTGCTGATGGTTACACACACACCTGCTCCCTCCATGCACTTGCTCCATCAAGAAGCAATAAAATTCCTCCTTTGCAGCCTCCAGACCAAATCCTAAATTGCTCTGCACGCTCTGCCTGATTTATTGCAGGCAAACAGCCCATTACAGCCAGAAACCAAAGGGAAAAGTTTCATATTATGACTTAATTTGCAATTAAACAATTCAAGTTTCTCTCTGAAGTTTCTCCAAGCTAAAATTACATAGAGACATGTTATTTTGGGAAGCTGGAGCAGCACTTCATCCAAGGGGTCTGGCCTGATGGAAACATTTATGTGCCACAGGTTAAACCTTTCCAAACCAGAGTGAAGATTGGAGACACACCTGAGATGCCTCGTCACAGGTGAGAGGTGATGGCAGGGCAGGGAAGGAACTTGTACAACAAGAAATTTTGTCTTTCAGGCCAAAATCAGACTCTGCCTGAAACAAGTGATGGGAAACTCATGTCCTCACACATTCACTGGAGCTTCTGCTCCAGCCCAGAGAGGGATGACAGCGAGGGCACAGCAGGGCCTGTGCATCCCAACCAGAGATTCAGTCAAAAACAAACCAAAAAACCCACAACTCCAGTTTGTTCTTGTGAGGAATTCTGCTCCTCCCCTCCCCTAAAAGCCCTCCTGAACAGAAAAGACCCTCCAGCCCAACCCTGGGCCACATGGCCACTTTTTTTGTCTAGTCTTGTCACAAATAATTTGGATTTCAAACCCATTTCAACACACAAGGTCCCCAATATTATTTCATTTTCAGAAGGAAGTTTATCCAGTGAATTCAGGTGGTTAACATCAAAATTAAGTCCTACAGAAAGCAATTTATGGCCTATTTCATTATCTACTCCACTGAATAAAGAGCAGCAACGTTTTAAACGTTTTAAGTGGTTAAGCTTTGTTCCAAGTAAAAGGTTGGCTTGGGAAAGAATGCAGGAAACAAAGCACAGAGAGGGAAATATTTCTTTTTTCCGTGGTATTTCAGTAAAATAAGGTGCCAGTCAATCACTTTCTCAGTATTATACATTTATGCAAATTCCACACCCACACGAGGGTTTTTTTGAGCTGATGAGGAAGTTGCAGCAGCAGAGACAGCTCAGCTCCCTCCCTCCACCCCGAGCCCGTGCCCCGAGCAGACACACGGCTTTGCAGAGTCCTTAGAAAGCTGAATTTCAGTTAAAGTTTTCCCTCCAACAGGGCTCTTCTGCCCTTAGAGCAGCTCCATGCAGCACAAACACTGTGGCAGTGGCAGCTGAGGGCCCGGGTTGGATGGCAGGAAGCTTTTCACACAGAAATAGCTCCAGAAGTCACTAATTCCACGGGGTCACAGCACATGGTTTTTACAACCCTCCAACTGTCTGACGTGGCTTCACACACCAAACCCGACTGAGAAGGAACAGGAAGGGCAGTGAAAGGCTTTGGGGAACTGCATGACCGTCACCTTTTGGGTAAAACCACCACCACAGTGTCTGCACAAGGACCTGGCCCTCCCCAGGCCCACCTGCACCCAGGCTCTTCCAGCTTCTGCATGGATACCACCGAGCCTCAGTACTTGGTTTTCCAAATGAAAAGAAACATCCTGTTCACAAAGGACAAGGGAATGGGGGCCAAGTGCTAAATGCTGATGTTCAAATGGTGCTCATCCTCCAGATGTGATCCTAAACTTCACGGGACCTACCATGGCACCAGCTGACTGAAGGCTACCAAATATTCTAACTGCATTTGGACTAATATTCCAACTAATGACATATGGAATTAGTTATGGTAACTATTCCCAGTGTAGACACATGGTAGACTGAAAACTCCACTAATCCACTGACACAGGCACACAAACCAGAACGCTCAGGGCTGCAGACAGGACAGATCACAGGGCTACTGGTAAAACAAACACCATAGAAACAACACCGGAGAAAAGAAATAAAATTAAAACCTCAGCATTATCCAATTCAATGGTAATCTGCCGGGAAAGAAAGAAGGGGAAGAATTGAAAGCAAGGATTAGTAAGAGAAGTTACACATAAATTTCATGTTAGGCTCTTGTCAATCATTTAACACTTAAATGCTGCAAGCCAACACTATATTACACAGTGGGCATGAGGAACATCTGCCAGCGCCGGGTTAGGGAACAGACACTGCTGGGAATGCTGTGCCAGGGAGCTTGGGAGGCAGGATGTGCCCTGGCTTTGTTCCTGTGCCAAACCACGCGGGCTGGCTGACAGGGAGCCAAGGACTTCACCCCTGGGCACGGGAGACATCATGAGCAGAGCCGTGAGAGCAGCAGGAGGGCAGGGGCTGCATCTCCACTTCAGGCAGGAAAAATGGAGCTTTAAAATGTAGCCCTGCAGAGCTGAGGCAAGTCAGCTGGTAGGCACCCGGAGAGACGTGCATGAATGACATGTTTCAGCAAAGTAAAAAACTTGGGTCTAGCCTACACTGTCAGTGTAGTGCAGTTTTGTGCCTATTAAATACTGCACAGTCTGCTCCCCGTCACTGAGCCATCCTGAGCGTGTGCCAAGAGAGGAGTCTTCAGCAATATGTAAAATTTTTAAGCCTTCCCACAGGCTCCTGTACATCTGTGCTCTCCCCACGGGTTTTGCATGCTGCAGAGGAGCCCCAGCTGTGGGAGCAGGGCCCTCAGCACCGGAGCACAGGGCGTGTTCCCAGTGCTCCCTCCACGCCGTGCAGGGGGCCAGCAGGGCAAGGTCCTGCTTATCTGGGCTGGGAGATTAGGCAGGGCAGGAGGAGCACTGTCCTTATGTAATCCAGGGTGTTCCAGAGAGCACCACATGGGACTGCAGCAGAATCACAGGCCATGCCAAGACTTGCACAGCACTCTGCTGCTGAACACACTTTGGGGTGACCACTGTCAGCTCTGGCACACAGTGACAGGACATGGCGGGGGGGTCCCTCAAACTCAGAGGGAAGGGGTCGAGGAGATGTTGGGAAGAAATTCTTTACTCAGAGTGTGGTGAGGCCCTGGCACAGGTTGCCCAGAGAAGCTGTGGCTGCCCCATCCCTGGAAGTGTCCAAGGCCAGGCTGCACAGGGCTTGGAGTAACCTGGGAGAGTGGAAGGTGTCCCTGCCCATGGAAGGGAGTGGACTGCATGGGCTTTAAGGTCCCTTCCAACCCAGTCCATTCCATGATTCTGTGCCCAGCTGACCTATAAACTATACTGTTTATGAGATTAATATGCTGGTCACAAGGGTAAGTTTTGTCACCTTTATGTACAGAACCCACCTCCATGGAGGGACTCCAGAATTCAAAGTGGGTGCATGAGGGCTTTTTCCTTCCTTTTTTTTTTTTTTTTTTGTTACACTCCAGGATGATTTTAAAAACAAAAGGTATTGCCTTTTAGGTGGTGACTAAATTCAGTTCAGTGAGTCACGAGGGAGAATAAATCCGATTTCACTGCTCACAGCCAGACAGTAAAAGCTGTTCTACTACTACTCCCAGTCTATCCGTGAGCAATCAGCTGCTTTTTCAGACTCGGAAATCCACTTCACAGGCAGCACATTCTGATCCCTTATGTAACTGAGCTACTGCTTCAGGAGTTAATGCATTTGCCACAATTTGAAGATTTTTAGCATTTTGTGGGGTTCTCCATGGTCTGAATGGTGCATGGTAACTGCAGCTTCTAGAAACCCTGCTTTCCCCAAGTTGGGTGAATAAAGTCAAAGAACTCCTGAAAATTAATTTCCATTTAGGAAAATGTGAGTGGCAGACTGCATTTAAAAGGACAAAGCCCTCAGAGCTCTCATTTGGGTTTCACTGGTGTACAGTGTATATATGCTATACATCACCCACTGTTTTTATGGCTTAGGGTGACCTTGGACAGTGTCTCCTGGCTGTTTTTAACAGGAGAACGTGCACTGATGTGCTAATAAAGTGTAAAACATAGTCTACGGTTACACTTAATCTCTTACCCCCCCAGCCTTGGGCAAAAGGCACCATCAGCACTCTGCTCTCATCAGAGCATCCCCGAGCCCAGCTCCCCTGCCCAGGAGCACTGACAGCCAGGCAGCCCCTTCCAGCTCAGATGACTCAGTAAAGGGACCTCGAGGAGAGGACAGAAGGTCCCCACAGGGTTCTACCTCGTGCTGGGATGCCCCAGCACACGATTCTGCCCCTTCAGCAGAGAAGGACAAAGTGCTCAAAGCTGACACCTGCAGTTGCTGCCCTTCCTTGCTGACCCTGCTCCCCTCCTCATCCCACATGGATATGCTGCTTTCCTGCAGTTGATCAGGGCATTCCTGCAAGTCACTGAATTTATTCCACAACACTGCTACTGCAAAACGAAAAAATCCCCAGGCAGGAGCAGAGCTGAGCAGGATCTGGGCTGGGCTGGGCTCTGGCAGCAGAGGGGCAGCACGTGGGCAGAACGTTCCTGACAGGGCAGGGAGCACAGCCTAGGCCGTCCCAGCCCTTGGGGCATTTTCCTGGGAGTCTCCCGCTCCCTTGGCACTGCCACGTGCTCCCTGGGTGTGCTGGGTACCAGCCCACACACGTGCACGTGCACACCCGCATGTGCCAGGCTCCCTCCCGGGCCCTGGGCTCTGCCTCCCCCTGCTCTGGCACCACAGCACCGTGTTCTGCTCCTGCCTCCTCCTCCCTGCCAGCTGGGCTGGCTCACGTGGGACATCCCAGCTGGCCAGGACGCTGCAGGTTCCTCTGCCTGCAGAGCATCTCCCTCCCTCACGCTGCCACAAACAGTTATTGCTGTTGTGAAACTCTCATCTCTGAAGTTTTCACCCTTTTTTTTTGCTGTAAATCAAGCACTAGGCAACAACTCCAACCCCAACTGCACAGCAGAACTGGACATGAACAGCACCTGCTCTGGGTGCAGTGAGTGTCCTCCCACATCGCTGCTTCCCCCACTCCCACTTGCTCCCAGTACCTTCACTGGAGGGTGTACTCCCCTGTACCTACTCTGTGGCATGGGAAGAACCTCAGCTGATTAGAATTCCACGAGATAATCTCCAATTCCCAGTCTCAGCTGACTGTAGCAATGTCTAGATACACAAACATATGGGTGCATACACACTTTTCTGATGTAAATAAAGAACAGGTCTGTGCAAACAGAAGAATGTTCTTGTCAACCAAAGGAGTTGTATGCAGGAAAGGGAAAGAAAAAAAAATGGGTGGGTGTACAGATAGTTTCCATCTATAATTCACAACAAGATTACTCAGCTGTTTACAAATTAAAATGAATTACAAAATACCCTCTCTTGTTGTAAGGTTACAGGACCCGGTGAAGAGCCACCTAGACCCAGAAAGCAGATAAAGAGGTCACATCCTTCATAGAAAAGTAACAGAATTGATTTTTTGGATTGCCAGCAACTGCAGGAATTAGACCTAAACTTGCCAGGCTCACGTAGAAAAGCAACAGAAACAAGCTTAACTTCAAATATGATTTGAAAGGTATTAGTTGACTAAAAATGTTTTGTTCCTGCTCCAGCCCAGAAGTGCTTACACTCACAAAACAGCTGAAAGAGCAGGAATTTTATTTTCCTTTACTGAACAAAGACAGTGTTTAACACAGAGTGATGGATCATAAACACATTACCTTTTCTCCATAGCCTCTATCTTTGGTCATCATTTCCCTGAGCGTCTGTAGTACCTTAATACACAGTTTCTCCTCATTCTCCTCCAGTAGCTGTTTTGTGTGCTTAATTAACCTGAAAAAAGCAATCAACCACAGCTCAGGTTAGTGCTAATATTCTAAAAGCGGGGTAAGATATGCATGGTTATCTTAACTGGTTTATGCTGCAAGCAAGTTTTTTTATCATACCATTACACAACCACTTTGGGAGCATTCTCTCAACACCTGACCAGCTACCAGGGCAGCTGTGAAGGAACCTGCAGTCCCTGGGCAGGAGGAGAGCCAAAAACACCCTGTGACTACAGGTAGCAAGGAATCAGTGGGATTCAGGACCTGATGGTCCTCTAGAACAACCATTTAACAGTAAGAAAACTGTATCACATATAACAGTTTGGATAAAATACATATTGAGTGTCTTGGACAGTGCAACCCAAAATCCATCCCACCCAGCACTTGGGACTTAGTACTTAGTTTCTATAAACTCTGTGCATAACCCACCCTGTCAGGAGGTGATCAGAGAAGCTGGATCTGCTCAAATTGCCCTCTGAATAATCCTGTAACCTTTTCCTTTCTTTCCCTCTAACTGTGGGTGATGCACATGGTAACAACTGATCCTGATGTACTCCCCAAGCACCTCACAAACATTACTGGGGTGAGGGCAGGTATCAAATAACTGGGATTAGCTCAAAGCTGAACTCATTTATACCACTGCTCATGGCATTTGCATCCTGCAGTAAACAAGTATTTTTAAGCATTAGCTGTGACAGCACATCAAACAGTCTTCCCCTATTCCCACAGGCAACTTTTTCCCCTCCAAGGACAAACTGCATTTACCACATCACAAAATACTGTGTTTTACAAGTATTTCTAAGCATATCAAGTGTTTACCAAGCTGGACACGAGGGCCCTGTTCCACAGGGTACAGGAAAATTGGGGAAAAGCAAACTACAACAAAAATCCTCCCAACAAGCCGGAGTCCCAAGACAACTTACTTGCAAATGAAACCTCCACTTTCACATTTCCTCCTGGCATCCGTGTTCTCTGGGAAGAGCAGCTCAGGCCTGTGGAGCACATCTACCAGCACTGAGAGCTCTGCCTGCACGAGGGGACGCAGGCGATCCTCCAGGGCTGACACGATGTCCTGGAACACAACAAACATCACACACACACAGTTACAGGCAAGTTAATCTCACACACGAGGGAAGGACAAGAATCTTACAAGAAGAGGGACAGGACAATGAGGCCCATCCTGCCTGAATAAATGAAAGGCCTCAGGGTTTGGTCAGATGAGCCTTTCAGTTTTATTGTTTAATGGTTATCCTGAAGGAGAGGCAGTGTTCTCCCAGGGGAAGGGGTGTGTCAGCACCTGCAGCCTCTCGATGATGTTGCGGTAGTCCCTGGAGGCAGCGAGCACCGAGTCCCTGCGGGCAGCGTTCCTGGCAGTCATCCTCCAGTTCATGGCAGTCTTCTGCACAATGTTATGGGACTTCAGGAACAGATTGTTCACCTGGCTGTCCAAGTCCACAGGAATTGCAATCGCTCGGCTTTTGGCTGCAACAAGCGAAGTCAGTGAGAACTGAGATCTTCAGCCCATGAACCAACACGAGAACAAGACAAACCTCTACCTGCAACTCCTACAAACTCCTTCCTTCTACAATCTCTCCTAGACAGGGAGAAAGGAAATGTCCTCAAGTTGTACTAGGGGCAGGTTTACATTAGATATCAGGAAAAAGTTTTTCATGGAAAGGGTTGTCAAGCATCAGAACAGGCTGCCCAGGGAGGTGATGGAGTCACCACTCCTGGAAGGGTTCAAAAAACACGTGGGTGTGGCACTTGAGGACATGGTTTAGGGTGAACATGGTGGCGGTGCTGGTTGACAGCTGGACTTGGTGATCTCAGAGGTCTTTTCCAAACCTTAATGAATCCATGATTCTCTGAGTGCATTTTAACCAAGGCAGTGCTCGGTCCCTGTGCAGTGGGTCAGACCTGTGCAGGACTGTGGTTAAAGGCTTTCACACCTCAGAGCTGTTTACTGTCTCTCAAGTGTGGGAGGAGGAATCTGTCCCTACACACACACACTCCCAACAGCTCGTGCTGGCACACGTGTACACCCATCCAACAGAACCTGGCCTCATATCCAGTGCAACTTACTCCTCTTGATACTAAAAGTGGAGCAAATCACGGGGAGGAGTGGCACAAAATTATCTCCCTGCTGCAGAGTTTGGAGGCTGAACAGAGAGAGCACTTCATGTGACAGTCACACCACCTATTGCTCAACCACGACCATTTATCAACATAACCCTGGCTCTGTACACCTGGGCCACGACTTATCCACAGGTGACACCTGGGGGAAGGAAACTGCACTTTCCTCATGGAAGGACGACATGGAAGCAGCAAGTTCTGGATGACCACGCCTGAGCAGTTAGTTCTGCTCACGTTCACTTCTTACCTACATCTGAGAGGACCCGAATGCAGCTCTCCACAGAGGCCTTCTGGCTGGGCATCAGCCAGTTGCAGTGGTACACCCTGAACACCCCCTGCAGCAGCTGCACGAACACGGGCTGGCGAGTCTGCAACACAAGGGCAGAGAGAGTCAACCCCACCCTGCTGAGATGGGGCAGCACCACCTCGAGGGGACCCCAGTTCCCAGCTCCAGCTGGCACTCTCTGCACACCAGGCACTCCCAACTGGTCTGCAGCCACTTGCTGGGCAGCTCCAGGTTGTAGCCAGAGACCCTACGACACGATCACAACTGGGTGGGAAGGGTGGGAACCAGTGCTGGAAGGGAAACACGAAACAGGAGCTTCTACAGCATAAAGCCTCAGTAACTGAGGCTTGACTAAGCAAAGGAAATAAGCAGCCACCTTCATCTGTTTAATCAGGGCTATCAGCAACCCTGGCACACAGAGATCCTTGTTTTAGCACTGACCAGCAGCTGACTCAAGAGTCCACATGGAAATGGGACTTGGCTCCACGACAGTACAGCTCCAGAGTTGAAAACTCATCATTTCAAGCATTATTACCTGGTATCTAATTTACTAAGGAACCAGCTGTGTGTGTGTTATTTGGAACACAGGTAGTAGTTAGTGGCAAATGCTACAGACCAGCTAAAATCGAGGTGTGGTTCTCAGCCCTGAATTTCACCAGGTGATCTCCCACCACACACAGCTGAGCTGCTCCAACACACACATGCCCATGTTCTTTCATCTTTGCACCGGCCCAAAAACAGTGACCAAAATTCCCTGTTTGGTTTTGTACAGTGATTACCTAACAGAACAATTAATTTTACCTGTAGAGGAAAGAGTATTTTAAATATTTCAAACTGAAGGGAATACACCATGTCCCCGTGCCTAATAGCTATGGAATGCTTCTATCAGCTAAGGGAACTACACCACAGTGCAAAGACCACAAGACTTAGGAACCAGTGAAAAAATACCTCTTTTATTCTGGCCAACAGTAATTCCTGTTAGTAAGAAAGAAGTGGAGTTAGAGGAAAAAGAGAAATCTATTAGATAATTAAATCCATTAGATCAATTAATCAAACACCATTATGAAAGGTACAAAAGGAGAACAAAAATTCAAACCCCAAAAACTGCTAAGGGGCAAAGACATATTATCCTTTCTGGAATTAAGTCAAACACCAAAACCATGGCAGACAGCAGCATTCACCAAGGGCCCTGAAAATACCTGCATGTTTAGATTTAAACCACCCACATACTGCTTTCAGTTCAGGCTTAAAGACTTTTTGGTCTTAAAAAGCCTCCAAGATGTTTCATTTGCCTAAACTAGGTCAATAAATCAAACAGGAAATTTACTCCACGTTCCTCGTGTCTCCAACTCCACTTGGGAAGGAAAGCCTTGGGCAGCAGCAGCCTCAAGAGGCAAACAGGTGAAACAGGGCTTGTTAAAGAGGAGTTTTGGGCAGCTGTTCCCTGAAAAGACATTTCTGTTCTCCTAATTTGATATGCTTTGAACAGCATGACAGATGTACAAGGTGTTCCTTCAACGAGCAAGGCTGGCCCTGGCTCAAGGGAGGTACAATTTCAGTCAAGCCATGACATGAAGGAGCAGGAGACAAGAGGAGGCTTGCACAGGAAAGAACAGGATGACAAGGAGCAGCAGAAAGGACAGGGAGGGACTGGCCCAAAGCAGAGGGGCCACATCCCTCACCTCTGGGGACAGGGCACAGATTGGGCAGAGGGGCTGCAGCATCTCAGGTGGGAGGGAAAATCCCCCCTGGAGCAGGGATGGACACCAGCCAGGTGGTCCAACTGTCCACCTCAGGTGTTAGGATCCCTGGGGGTGGGCAAGAGACAGGCAAAAAAGGGAGAGAAACAACTTTTAACTTTGAGATGTAGAAGAAAGATGAATCTAGGACAAGAGACATCTATCAAGTGAGATGGGAAAAGAGGTGAGCTGAGTGACTTCATCCTGCTAGACAGAGGGGGAGATTGAGAAGCTAAGGAAAAACTGCTGATATAACATTAACAGATGGCTAAAATAGGATGGTAAAAAGAGTATTCAAATGGTGTATGCTCAGAGAAGACAACTCAGAGTAGGACAGCCCAGGTATATGGTACAGAGGGAAGAGAGAAGGGCAGAGCCCCAAGGACAAGGTTAATGATCTCGATTTCTCATTTCTTTGATGAACTTCCAACAAATGAGGGTGATACACAACAGCAGCTGAAATCACACGAGGAGCACATCAGCTGCTGCACTGCTCAGGTTTGGGTGAGGGGAGAGACAGCCCTAAGGAAGCTGCTCAGCCCCAACACTCGGAGAAGAGTTCCCAGGGTGACAAAACACTGGCACAGGTTGCCCAGAGAAGCTGTGGCTGCCCCATGCCTGGAAGTGTCCAAGGTCAGGTTGGAGCAACCTCGACTAGTGGAAGGTGTCCCTGCCCATGGCAGGGGGTGGGACTGGATGGGCTTTAAGGTCTCTCCCAGTCCAAACCATTCCGGGATTCCATAAAACCTGCAGTTTGCACTGCAAACATCTGCCTTTGGCACTACCAGGTTGCACCAAGTTTCAACAACTACCCCTCTCAAACTTGTGCCAGAGCTGCCAGGCACCTGCCCACTCCACCCACACTCCTCCCAGCAAGTTATTTATGAATAAAAGAACGATGTTATCTTTGTGCAAACACAAATATTAAGGCCACGTCCTGACAATGCTGTTCTGGTGTGGAAATCTCTGCCTTCTGCCACTGCACAAGAGTTCCAAGCTCCTCCTTCACATTTCCCCAACTTTTGAACAAGGAAAAAAAACTACTCAGCTTAGTGAGACAACTAGAGCTTCTGGATTCTTTTTGAATGTTCTTAAGGGAAATTAGCAGATTTTATAGAAATAGTCTTTCTTTAATCAATCATCTTGGCAAGCTCCGTAATGCAACACTCCTCCAGACATTTTCCAAAGCCTGGAAAGTTTGCCACCAAAGCTTGGGGCAACCTGGTCTAGTGGAAGGTGTCCCTGCCCATAGCACAGGATTGGACCTGGATGATCCTGAAGGTCCCTTCCAACCCAAACCATTCTGTGATTCTGTGACACACAAACTCTCTCCAAATGGCCTGTGTGGTGTTGGTAGCACAGAGCTGAATCCACTGATGAAGCAAAGCAACACTTCAACTTCTCTAGAAGAACTTGTACTCTGATCTACAAATCTTTCCATTTCTCCAGCGAAAGGTCACAAGGAACAGTCAGATACTTGTTCCCCCATCACAACACATGTTTCTTTTGACCTGGTAAACGGCACCCCAGTGGAATGAACAGAACTGCCTTGGCAGCATGTTTTCCCTTTTCTGTCTCTGCATTTTCCTACCTGCAGGGTTGTGCTCTGGTCAGAGAAGGGGGAGCTGAAGAAGGTGGTGACAATGCTCATCACGATCTCCGTCACGTACTTCTCCAGGATGGAGTCCGCGTGCTTCCTGTCGCTGGTGTTGTTACAGGCCTGCAGGACAAACCACCCTCAGCTCAGCAGCAGCTCACCAAGGCAGATCAACCACCCTTACAACTGGAATTCCTGGCTTCCCATTATTCCAGTCCCAGCAGTTCCCTGCCATGCTGGTGTTTGTGACACTGGAGCTCTGGACCTCCAGCACCCACAAGGGCAAAGCCAAGGGTGTCCCTGGTACAATGTGCTGGCACAGAGCACCTTCAGGGGGAGGGAGAGAACCACACTGCCTTGGAGGAGAGCAGGGGAAGGGTAGGGAGCACTGAGGTGTAATGCTTTCGTACGGGGAAATACTTGGAATCCCAGGCAAAAAGCCACAGGGCCGAATAAATGCCAGGCTTGGAAAAAATCTGTCCTGACCGGCCAAAAAATGTCGCTCAGGAAGGAGCTCAGCGATCCTGGCCAGAATAAGCAAACCAGGTGGCAGGACAGAAAAGGCACTGGACAAAGGAGCAGGGTGTGGGGCTTCACTGAGCTCTGGTTTGGTTGGGTTTTTTCTTTTAAAAAGGAAAATATTAATGTGTTCCATGGAATATGACTAATGGAATCCACAGGCATAAGGCAAAGAAGGCACACATAAATTTACAGGAACACAGAATTCAGGGAGCTTATTGCCTTGATGCACTGGTATGTTTTATTCTTACTGTTGTATATTAAATAGGCTCTTTTGAGCTTTCTGAATTCAGTTCCTTGGTACAGACACATTACCCGACAGATGTCAACCAGGAAGTTCTCAAACAGCTTCCACATGTGATTACTGGTGTAAATCTCTTTCATTTCTACTTCTGTGTCCACGTAGCAGTGGTTCAAGAAGTTGATGTAGGCTATTTTGACCTAAAAGCAGAGGAAAAAATTAATAAAGCATAAAAAGCTGAATGGTGGTACGGATGAATATAATGTCACATTAAAACTGCTACGTAAATAATCTGGAATTCCACTTCCTTTTATTTAACCACTGGTGAAATTTAATGCCATGAATAGCAAGACACCATCCAATAAAAAACCTCCAGGATAACTGCAGACCAAACGTCAGCATCATAATAATTTCCAGACCTGCAGAACCATCTGTTCAAGGTTAGCAGCACATCCACAAACCTCTCTGCCTCAAGAACCTTATAAAATAACCAAGTACAGCATCACATTCCTATTTTATGGCTAAGGAGTAAGTATAAAAGGATTTAACTTCACTATCCAGATTGACTGGGGGTGCTGACAGCAGAAGCAGGGAAGGAATCCAGTTTCCCAGCTCACTGCCCACCTGCACCACCCCCTTCCCAGGCCAGACTCAGCAATATCCAACCTCTCTCACCCAAAATCAGCACATTTCAAATAGAAACAGGTCAGTTCTTCTATCAGCCCTCACCTCAGGAATGCAATCCTCGTGGGTCACCACCCTCACAATGTCATCCAGGGGGAGGAGGGAGTTGCACTTGATCTCTGTGTAGACATTTTTGCCCTCAGTGCACACAGCCAGCAGCTCCACCAGGTGGATGTGGTACATCAGGGGGCTGTTCTCGTCCATCCGATCCCTCTCTGACCTCATCATCTGCACCAGGGTCTGGAAGGAGGCTCTGTCGTTGTAGAACACCAGCACATCTTCTCCTGCGTTCACCAGCTGCCAAGGACGGAGGACATTCCATCAGCAGAGCAAAGCCTGGGATCTCCCCACGGCATCCCCCTACTCTGGGGCTGCAAATGCCCATGAGCTGCTCCTCAGACACTCAAAGGAGCACAGCCCCCAGGTCAGCTGGGCACTGCTCCTGTGCTGTCTTCACGGGAGACAGGACACGAGTAGGACATTTTCTCCTAAAGAATTTACCACTTCTGAACTGCTGGAGAAGTTCAAAGCCAGTCCAGCTGCCTGCTTAGACAGAAGCTGTGCCAACAAACTTCTGACTTTCCATTGTGCTTTTTTATTTCATGTCCTGTTGCCTCAGTTGACTTTTTAATGCAGCTGTGGGCAGCTCTGTGCTGGTCAGAGAACTGCCCGGGGTCACAGGGATGGGAGAGCTCAGGGCTCACTCCTTCCACCCTTCTGAGCAAACACCATCCATCTTCCAAGGCACAAAGTGACACCTTAAGTCACACACTGGAGATTTCCATCAGCTTCACATCTGACACCCTGCTGGCCACGATTTCAGAGCAGCTCAGCCCTCCTGGAACTCCAGGAAAGGAAGGAGAATGAGCAAAGTGAGACCTGCCCCAGGCTGGGCACTGCTGAGCAGGAGGGGTCCAGGGCTGTCCTCCCCCAGGGTTTGGGAAAAACAGCAGGATAAAAGGCAGGAGGAAACCTCTCAGGCAGCCCCCTCTGCTCAGCACTGCTGACCACCTCACAAACTCAGCTGTGTGCTGAGAAGCTCACAAAGCTGCTTTCGAGCTGAACAACAAATTCTGGAAGATTTTCCATCAATCTACCAGGACTGATGCACAAAAGCCAGATTTGACAAATCTGATCCTGGGGCTCCCCCTGCTGAGGAGGCCAAACATCCCATCAGATGTGTAAATACACCGTCATGGATCACATCCAATATCCCACTTAGAGGCACTTAGTCACCCTTCTCTTACCTCTCCCTTCTACCCTGCCACTCCAATTTCCCAGTTACCCACACACCTAAGGAACACCCTCATCTTTTCCACCTTCAGCACTTAAACAGCTGAGTAAGTACATCTTGCTAAGACTATTTACAAGGGCCTGGAGTGACAGGACAAGGGGGAATGGCTTCAAACTGAAAGATAGGAAAAGTATGGGTGGGGAGGCCCTGGCACAGGGTGCCCAGAGAAGCTGTGGCTGCCCCATCCCTGGAAGTCTCCAAGGCCAGTTCTGAGCAGCCTGGGATAGTGGAAGGTGTCCTTGCCCATGGCAGAGGGTGGGACTGGATGGGCTTGAAGGTCCCTTCCAGCCCACACCACTCTGGATGCTATAAAGAATTCCCATCAAAACACTATCATGGTAAAATTCTCCTTCTGCATTAGTGATCTTGAAATTAAACTAATTCTCTTCGAGCCAATTTTGCTAGAGAAAGGCACCCCTGCTTCATAATCCCACCTGTGTACTGCTGTGCACACATGCTGGGAAGTAACTTGTGCCATTAATTATCAACCCCTCGTTACACCTATGAGTCAGGAGCTCAGAAAGCTTTTGGTCACAAAAAGCCTGAGCTTTCTGGGAGCTGTTTGCTCTTTTTGCATGGTGAGAGCTCACTGTCAGCTTCTTGGCAGTCCCCGAAGCGAGAGGATCAATTTGTCATGTTCACCAACTGCTATGTGAAAACTTCTGTTCAGACCCTGCAAATCCCTGCAGCTCTCACCTCAGCCATTACCATATCCTGGCATTTCTTAATGAACTTCCCCTCTGCCTTGACGATTGTCTGCAGGAACTTGATGTACTGAACGTTCCTGCCGTGGGTTTCGATGCAGTGGACGAAGTGCTGAACGACGCGCTCGTTGATCTCGCTGCAGAGCTGGAAGTTGTTCATGAAAATGTGCTGCATTGTCACTGCTTCCAGAATCTATGGGATGAAGGGAAGAAAGCAATCAGAAAATAAACAACCCACCGGGCCCCCCCAGAGGGCAGGGTAAAGCCAACGCTCCTGCAGGGCGCGGGGCTGGAGGAACATTTCTGGACCTCATCTTTCAACACCCCAGCTCCTATCTCAGTCTGTTTTTCACTCCACTTCAGCCTCTTGAACTTTCTACACTGAAATGGCCCTAAACAAACATCTTGCCAACCTTTAAGGCTTCAGAATGAAAACAAAATGTGACCTCTTCAACCAATCTTGCATCAGAACAGCCCCTGAGGCTTCACCAAGGACAATCCAGTCCCTTTCCTTGCTAGAACAAAAAATAAATCATGGCCTGAGGTTATTCTTACCCCTGGGTTAAGGAACAGGTTTATGTGCTTGTGCAGCAAGGCCTGATTCTGTTGGTTCCCAGCGCAGAAGTTCTGCAAAAACTCGTGTGCAAGCTTCATTATCTCCTGCATCCTCGTGTCTTCAGCCTGGGGTTGCATGACAAACAAGAGGGAGTTAAAGGGACTCCAAAGGTTCACTTTCAGGTGAGCACTGGACAAGCCACAGCTCCAGCTCTGCAAAGGAACTGTCACGTCCCTCACACTCCGAAGGAAAACAACCTCCACCCAGCTCGCAGACACTCGGGATGAGTTTGGCCCATTCCACAGTTCTAAAGAGCATCAAAATTGAAGTCCATAATAGAAATTACAGCAGTTTATTCCTTAAAACTGCCTACTCCACGGCCAGGCCTGCCAGCAACGTGCTTTAGTCACTTCTACACTTCTGAACATCCCGGCACGTTGGCCAAGCCACACATCATCACCTCGGGGCTGCCCAGGAACTCTGCCACGTTCCACTGCACAGACAGATGGGCAGCTCATGGCAAGGGAGACGTGGAAAGTTGTCACTGCACCAGTTCAGCCCAATTTATATTTACTGGAACCTGCACACTGCTTGCACACTTCCAAGCACTGCTGAGGAACTGGTGCCTCTCCTCTGACGTCAGTGTGGATCCCCGACCCACTGATGGCAGAAGATGCAGTTTGGAAAATCAGAGTATGTTTTTACTTTTAAGGAATTTCATATATTTCCAAGGGTGAAACCCCTTCCACGCTGCCTGTCCAATGCACATTCACATGTACAGGACAGAAAGGAGACAAGATGTTGGAGTGTCTTTGCTGCCCATTTTTTAGCAAAGTATGAAGCAAGAAACCATGAGACTTAACATTAATCAAAGCTACTGTCCAGAATTACTGGTTCTCAGAAACCTGTGGAGTTTGGAACAGAGGACAGCAGAGTGATCAGGAAACTTGTCACCTCTGCACTGATAAGTACCTGTCACCTGTGACTAATGGGCAGCCAACAGGAAGAACTTGGGCTGTGCTGCATCAGCACAACATGGGGCTGTGCAGGCTCCAACCAGACACAACCCAGACCCAATGGGCTCCAAACCAGTCCCAGTGGGCTCCACACTGCACTGTGATAACATGTGGCATCTGACAGGGCTCGTTACTGAGCCCTGACCTGGCGGGCCAGTTGGTATTTATTCATTTCTGAGGGGGGAGTTTGGGACTCTGCAACTCAGGGGGTCTGTGTTTAACTACTGGACAGACCTGACAAATCCCATGGGGACCAGGCACTCTGGTGTTCCCAGGATGGTGGGCATGCAGCTGCCTGGTAGCAACAACTGGGTCTTGCTTCCACAGCTCAACTCCACATGCCTCCCATGAAAAGCTCCCAGTTGAGCCTTGGTCTTACTCTGAGCTATGGCAGACAAATACTTCTTCAGGAAATAGTGCATAACTGTATGTTAAAGACTTCAAACAAACAGAGCTTGTCCAAGCTCCCCAAAGTATGGATATTTTACAGACTATGAGACCATATAAACCAGCCCCTGTGGATCCAATACATTCCAACATATCCAAGATTCAGAGGAGGCATTAAAAGCCTGCCAACGGGACCCAAAGCAAGGAGACAGCAGAGGAGCCCCACCTTCTCGTAGGGGATCTGCAGCAGCTCCAGCACCACGGCGTGGGCTCCCATGTTCCGCAGGAGTCGCTGCTGCTGCTTCCGGCTCTTCCTCACCGAGGCCCCTTCCTGCACACAGAGCTTGCTTAGCCGCAGCAGGATCTGCAGAGAGACTGGCTTTAGAGCCCAGAGCCTGGCTGTTCCTTCACAGAATGCCAGGTCCCAGAGAGCAGCAACGGGGAGAAACTCCTCTGTGTGGAGCAGAGCGGCTCCAGGCAGCTCCTCATGGCCCAGGCTCCATCCATGGCATCTGACTAAGGCTGGTGCACTTGGATGATCCTTGTGGGTCCCTTCCAGCTCTGGATGCTCTGTGATCCTATGCTCCTGCAGAACCCACCACAGGCTCCACACACAGGCCTGCAGCTCACACCACACCAGCACCAACACACACTCTCAGTCTGGTGTTTCCTAAGTTAAATTCCAACAGCACGGCGGGTTTGAGTGCCAGGTACTCAGGACCAGGGCAAACTAAATGGCTTCTCCCCCTGCCTCCTGCCTTTGTAGTCTTTAACAATAAAAATATTGTGTTACCATTGAAACAGCAGCAAAACCTCGCGTTTCTCACTAATCCATCCTCAAGGAAAGAGTACACACGTCGTGCTTATTATATCCTGGCTTCCCATTCAAGCTGGGATATGTTATTACTCAGCAAATAGTTTCCACAATGGCACAGTGACTCAGACTGTCCTGGGTGCCTCCCTCTGCCTGCAGCTCTCCAGAGCTCTGTTACTCATTTACACTGCCAGGGAACTATCAAGAAGCAAAGTTTTACCTCTTTTACTACCCGGTAGTTGTAGCTGCTAGTACTTTCAGGCTTTTGGGACTTGCTGTGACCTTCCTGAGGATAAAATCAGACAATTTATTAGTAGCTTATACTACTGCCTTCACAAAGGCTAAAATTACCGTTCTAGGACAGCGCCCGCTCTCCTCCTGGGAAGGACTGTCATCCTCCAGCTCTGACAGTCTCACAAAAATACATACAATTATCTTGTCAAGTCACACTGACCTCTATAACACAAAATAAGGTGAGGGTGGGATGATTTCAGAGACAGCAACTTCCTGTCCTTTCCTTTGGTTGTCACATTCTGTCTCTAATCAAGTCTCCCCCCCCAAAAAAAGTCCTTACTTCTCTTCCTCTCAACTATTATTAAACTGTCACTGCACACAGACTAAGAAATGCCTCTCAGGACCTGCACAAGAAAAGCAACAAGTAAATTACTTGTCTTTACTTCCAACAATGAATGTTCATAACCGAGGGACTGTTTCTTGGATTCCCTCACCCAGTCTTGTCTATTTGACTGCAAATTATACGGAGGCAAAATGTGTTTAATGAGTTCCAAGTCAGATGTGCATGTCAGGAAAGTCCTGGATTATCAGGCACAGATAAAGCACAGTTCTCTTCTGTCATTTATCAGTGGCATGACTGAAAAGGCATCACCTGAGCAGTTCACAGCTCTGCCCTTACCTTACTTGAGGTGCTTTTAACTGGACAAATCCCATGTGATTGGTCAGTGCTGGAAGGACAGAACTGGGGAGCCAGAGACAACCCAAACCAGCTCTGTTAAGACCCTAAGGGTGACACTTCAGTGGCTGCTAATCCTGAGCAGTCTCCACTTGGTATCAACCAGCTCAAGTTCTCCCCTTGCTCTTGCCTTAACTTAAAAGTACACAGCCAGCCTCACCAGGCTGCTCAGCGTGCTGGGAAGATGGGCTTCTGCCACAGCTCTGAACACAGCCACCCCCTCAAAATACCCACAGGGGAATCTGCACAAACACAGCCTAATTACCTCTTTCTTCTTGTGCTCGTTTTCACCTGGCACACTGTCCATGGCCTCGTCAGGACCTTGGCCTTTGTACACCCACAGCTCCGACTTCTCCACTATTGACCTCAGCTGGTCCAAGTCTTGTTTGATCTGCTTGTAGTTGTCAACATCTTGGCTGGTAACAAGCAGTTGAACCTTACATGAATGCAATCCATTAGTTGCACAAAAAGGGGTTGTTTTTAGCTGCAATACACACATTCAGATGAGGAATAGCTCTTGGAACTCACACATACCTGTTTGAAAGCTTGAAGGACTTCTTGCCTCTGGCTGAAGTGCCTGAAGAGGAGCTGCAGTGCTCCAGACACCAGGGGAGGGTAATCATGCATGGTTAAGTGCAACAGAACTCGGAGAAATGTTCTGCCACCGTGATCATCCAAATCCAGAGGTGTGTTCTCCTCACTGAAAACAGAGTGGAGGAGTTAACTGGCACATTAGACTGAGTGGTCCAGCAGGTTCTTAATCCACTTAGCAGGAGGAAAACCTCTTTTCTTACTTTTAAGTAAGGAGGAAATTTATCAAATCAAATGCTATCTCAGGACAGGGGGTTTTGGTGTGCTGTTAAGAGGGAGGCTATTCCAGAATCTCACTGCTCAGGGTCCACTCAGCTTGCATTACCCAATTTACAGTTTTGCCAATCCTTGCCTGCACAAACTCTTCCACCTAAGTAAGATTTCACTGCAGCACTGAGCTTAAGATGCCCTAATTCTCCACCCTGGCTTTTACCCATTAAGTGGAGCCCTCCCACGATGACTCTTCTGGCTGAAGGACCCCTGTATCCCTTATCTGTGGTTTTTAATACAACTGGACCCTACTTTGAGCTGCATTGAAGTCATTTTAAGAAAATGGAGCCTGAGTAACTGTGACAGCTGTTTTCAAGCTCTCCCCAGCCACCACCTCCCTCTGGACTGGAATTCCCACTCCCTGGGAGCCCTGCAGCCTGGAGACTCAGAGCTGCCCCTCGATGAGCACCTGTGAAGAGATACTTTCCTTCCTCCAAAGATCCCCTCAGCTTGTTCCTCGATATGTTCGAAGTCCAGGGCTCCTGAGAACACGAGACAAACACGTGACATCAGAGTGACATCAAAGAGGTTTTTTTCAGCCTAAAAACATTTCAAATGGCAAGTGGTGACAGGGGAGTGAACAAGGGGGTCATAACAAGCTGAAAGGGACACCGAGATCACTGAAGCAGCTGCTCAGATAACATAAGACAATAAATTAACCTGCTCCCTGCTCACAAATTAAACTGTGTAATCATTTCAGCAACATCCAGGCTTATTCCTCTCTTGCCTGTTTTTAGATTGCACCAGCATCATTCCAGGATGCTGAATGGGACCTGGTGTCATTCCAAGGGGCCATTCACAGTAAAAGCCAAACTTCACCCTTGAGAAGTTCTAAAGTAATAAATTCAGCCATGACAGCAATAAAAAGGCCTTTGCCTTTCTCAGTGTAAGGTACCTCATCACATGGGCAATGACCAATATTCTGAAATAAAATAATAAAAAAAACCCCAACAACATAAAACTGACAAAACAGACTTGGAGCCTCATTATTTCACAAATATTTGCCAAGGGGAACAGAAGGGAGCACAGGGATTTTATATCCTTGCCAAAAACATGTACCCCATTTCTCCCAAAGTTCAGCTGGCAGAAAGAGCTGTGGGTGTGCCCCCAGCCCCATTCCAAAGGCTCAGGTAGCCCAGGAAAAGAGTCAACACATCCCCCTTGAAGTGAGATCGAAAGACAGTCACACTTTGAACACTTCACATCTAAACCACATTTTTCTTATTATTTTCCTCTGCATCTGCAGATACAGCCCCCAAATTGGGGAATAAAAGCTGTTTGATGACTCCTAAGCTGCACACTTAAAGTTCAGTTATTCCTACATGGCACAGGTCCTCCTACAGGACACTTTTTGCCCTGGAAAGTGATATCCCAACAGACAACCCCCATTGACCCAGTCCACCATCCTGCTTCCAGTTCAGAAGAACACTGGACATGACAAGCTCCTCCACAGTAGCACAGAGGCCCAGACACCTCCAGAGGTCTTGCCTTCCTACAATACCTTTGGAAAAGAAAAATTTGGGTGGGTACAGGCATGAGGAAAAGGGGAAGAGATGGAGAAAACCACATTACTATGGGGACCATTTTCCTTCACCCAGAAACATCAACAGAAAAGCTCTGAGGTCGATGACAGGTCACACATGACAGTGTTTATTTCAGGGTTTTTTTAAAGGATGTAACTCAGGCTCTTGGTCACACTTAATACAATGGAAGCAAGTAGGTGACAGTATTTAGTTGGAAAATGCTGAACATATGGAAATGATCCTACTCATTTATTCCACTGTGAGCAGGGCACTCTACTCCAGTGGGACCATTTGTGTGCCAAAGCAAGAACCTGAAACAATTACTCACCAGCCCCTCTAAGATTGCAGAGTGTCCCCTAACCCACACCACCTCATTCCTTGCAAAATAACCAACCTGGAACATTAGCTGGCATTTCTTGACTGCTGCTTCCAGTGGGTGACTCGGACATCTGGGCATTGCTTTCATCAAACTCATGTTTAAATATGCAAAGCAGGCAGGAGATCCTGTAGTCCAGTCGCACGTTCAAAATAAACTGGGGATACAGAAGTAGGAAAAATGTTGAAATAATGTGCCCATTCCCAGCACACCTACCATTTACACACAATGCAGGGCCACCAACATGCAGCATCAACTGAGCAGAGATGTGGATTTCACTTGGAAAAGTTACCCAGGGTGAGGAGGCCCTGGCACAGGTTGCCCAGAGAAGCTGTGGCTGCCCCATCCCTGGAAGTGTCCAAGGCCAGGTTGGACGGGGCTTGGAGTAACCTGGGTTGGTGGAAGGTGTCCCTGCCCATGGCAAAGGGTAGAATGGTCTGGATGATCTTTAAGGTCCCTTCCAAACCAAACCACCCTGGGTTTCTGTGATTCCAAGAGGTATGCAAATGTTGTCTTACAAATCCCCAGGATTCAGTCATTTTCTCAGTGCTTTCCACGAGCACGATACACACACATAATAAAACATGAGTAAGGTGCTTTGGCAGAGCTTTGCTCCCTCGTTACTGCCTGATGCTGGCATCCACACCCCATCCCCCAGGGAAGGAAAGCAGCATTTCCATCTCCATTCTGAGCCAGCAGGAATCCCACAGACATGTGCTGCTGTTCTCCCGGGGTGCTGGGGCACAGGAGCAGGACGTGAGCTGCCAGGAGCCAGGCTGCTCCCATACAGCAGCTACACCAGTTCAGGACTAGCTGGTGCCAGAGTAACCTCCACCCTAGCAGAGACCACCTTCTCCATGATCTTCCTCTTGAGGAAGGAGATACAATGCCAAGAACACTCACAGTTCTCAGAGCTTTCAGGGAAAAGGCTTAATGCCAGTTTGAATAGAGCCTGGTAACTGGGGGGATACTGGCACACTGAACCACCCCTCTGCACATGCTGGGCCACAAGAGAAGCTGTGGCTTTAACTAAAATTAGCACTGGTGAAAGGAAGGATTGAAGCCTCCCTGTGTGCTGCATCTGCTGCTGAGGGAAGGGCAGGACCTCACCCCGTGCTCCGTGCGCAGCCTCCCACGGGGCACGGGGAAGGAACACCAGGGATCTCCTGCTGCCTCACATACTCCTGCCCACGAGGCTCTTGCAGCATCATTCTGATCTCCATGAACTCACTGATGAAGTTACTGAGCAGAAAAAGGACTCCTACAGTCAGAGGGGGAAGCTGGATTTCAGGGTAGGAATTCTGCAGTAACCTCTTGATCGAGGCAGTGCCGTGGAAAAGGGAAAAAACTGTGTGTGCCCCGAAGACTCAGGAGTGAGCCCATGAGAAAAGCCAGACAGAGATGGAAGAGACAGCGAGGCTGGCTAATGTGCATGCTGAAAAAACATGGCAGGCTGAGGGCTGTGCCAAGAGGAGTCTCCAGTATCCCCCCCTTCCTTGGGGCACTTGAGATGGCCCTGTAGACTCCAAGAAACTGGTCAGACAGTGGGGTGGAAAATGTCTGCTTCAAGTCACGTACTTCCTGTTAAATCACTGCTAAATATGCAGATGTCTATTGCAAGCTCTTTTCTAATAAATTGTTTCAGTAAAGGCATAATATTGACACAGGCAAGTTGAGAGCCAAGTGCCTGCAAGGTCACCTTCTGTAACGCTTTACTGGTGTAAGAGGCACATACCAGGCAGAAATAAATTAAAAGGCAGCAGGACCCTGTTAATGCTTACAGAGAGCACAGGATGCTGCATTAATGCATGTTGCTGGTACCTGAAGTATTTCAATGATCTTCAGCTTGGTGTCCATGACCAGGATGTCCTCCTTCTCCGGCTCGCTCTGCTTGACATTCCCCTCGGGAGCAGCAGCGAGCGGAGTCATGGGCAGGAACCCCCCACCTCTGAGCACCACCTGGGTCATCAGCTCTCCCACTCCATGGATTGACCTCATCACATTGCTCCCTTCAGAGAGGCAAACAGGTAAAGTTATGATGGTGTAATGGGGCTGCATTAACAGGGCAAGGACCCTCCACATCCTATGGAGAGAAACTGTCTCAACATTACACATCCAAATCCTTGGGACAAAGGGAAGCCAACAGAAGCTCTGCAGTACTTGGAGAAAACCCCTGCCCTTTCCCTCTTCCATTACAGGCATTACTCAGCTTTACAGCCAAGCCATGGACAGAAAGGAGGAGATTTCCAAGCACAGCATCAGCGTCTGGTCCAGGGAGGAGACTGTCCCTCTGCTCCACCCTGGGGCAGCCTCTCCTCCAGTCCTGGGGGCAGTTTGGGGTATCACAATAAAGGAAACATCTAAAGCTGTTGGAGAGTGTCCAAAGGAGGGACACAGGGGTGGGGAAGGGTCTGAGGGGCCACCCAAGGAGCAGCTGAGGGCACTTGGTGTGTCCAGCTGGAGACGAGACTGAGGTCAGAGCCCAGCAGGGTCTGCGGCTCCTCCCGAGGGGCAGCTCCAGCTCTGCTCTGGGTGAGCAGGGACAGCACCCAGGGAAGGGCTGGAGCTGGGACAGGGCAGGGGCAGGCTGGATCTCAGGGAAAGGTTTTTCCCCCAGAAGGTGGCTGGCACTGACCAGGCTCCCCAGGGCAGTGGGCACAGCCCCAAGGCTGCCAGAGCTCCAGGAGGGTTTGGACAACGCTCTCAGGGACAGGGTGGGATTGTTGGGGTGTCTGTGCAGGGCCAGGGGTTGGACTGGATGGTCCTTGTGGGTCCCTCCCAGCTCAGGATATTCTATGATTCCATGATTCCAACCCACACTGACATTTTGAGACAAACCTGAACCACCCAAGAACTTTCCACCCATCATTTTCCAGCCTTACCTTTGCTTTCCTCGCCTTTTGCCATCTTGGTAATAGGGAAGATGGTAGTGATGTGCACACAGTCTAATATAGCAAGGAGGATTTTGGTTAGTCTGAGGAGGTCACAGAAGTTGTAGAAACCAAAATATATCAGATTTCTGGCTAAGTTAACAACCTACCAAAATAACAATAAAAAGCCTGATTAATACTAAACATTTTGCTTTCACAATCAAGTTGTTCTTAACACAGTGACAAGATCAAGAACCTGGCTGAGTCATATTTTATCACAATATCTGGGAATTCCACAAGACTGTCTAATTCTACATTACATCAGAAGGTTTTTTGCCTACAAAACTGCAATGCCTGGAATAATCTCTGTATCTGCAATTGATATTCTACAGCTACAAAATCAGACCACATTTGTCTCATTACAGAGCAGGTAAGACAGAGCAAGACTAGAGGGAATGTACTGATGATTTTTATCATTATCTTACAAAAAAGATATTGTAAAGTTTCCCCACAACTCCTCCCCGTGCACTGCTTCGAGATCCACACAAAAATATCACACACAGGGCAAATATTTAACGTAGCCCCGTTATGTGAAGTATGTTCCCTCAAATATGTTATTTTTTTAAAAGAATATCATGTTTCCTCATATTAATGGTTATTTTGGGAAAGCTATTGCATGGATTTGCTACATCTCCTTTGCACAGACTATTTAATAGGTCAGTAAGTCACAGGACACTCTTGGGGAGCATCACTATGAGCTCTCAAGGCTCTCTGTGTGCAGACACAGTGTTTAGTTTTTGAGACTACTTATTCCAGTAAGGCCTGACTTTGCCATAACACTGAGAGCACAGAAAGTAAACAAGGCTGCTGCAAATCTAAGACAAACTCACATTCATTGATTGCATTTCAAGAACCATCACTGCAAACTCACAAACTTGCACAAGGAGAAAGGCTCCAGTGGAAAGGAGGAGCCTGCTGAGGCTCAGCACTCAATCTGTGCTTGCCAAACTATCAGGTGTCGAAAAAAGTACCAACATTCCACCACAAAACAGAAAAGGATAAATCAGAACTGGGTAACTACCTCAAAAGTGAGCTTATTTTTCTCTTTATCAGAGAAAGGGAACCTCTGACACACCACATCTCTTAAATATTCCTCTACAAATTCCATTGTTTGTGCAAATCTCTCCTTAATTTCATCTTTGGAAGTTCCACTGCTATCATAGCTGAAGAGGGAAAAAAAAGAACAAAACAAAAAAGAAAACAAAACACAAAGCTTAGCATGCAAATACACAGGGCTCCTTTCACCAGATACAATTTTTCATTGGTTTGTCAAAATCTAAGAGAAGTTAAAGGCTGGTAAATAATTTATCCAAACGAGGGAGTCAGGACACTGACACCATAATTTCCTGGCTTTTGCTGTTTTATCCCATATGCTCACTTTGTACTATTTTTAAATGTCTGAGGGGGAAAAAAAAAAAAAAGATAATTTTGTCCCAATAAATTAAAAAAGTAACCTTTATTATTAGAGTGGAAACAATGACAAGTGATGTGCAGCACTGAGGAGAAGGGCTGGCCAAGAGATGCTGACTGGGGATGGTATTTTTCCTCCAAATAAAACCCATCTATATGCAAAGCAGATATTAATATTTAACACAAATTCTAGGGGGTTTTTTCTCAGTATGTGCAGAGGGACTTTGAACAAGACAATCCTCACCTTCCCCCAACTCACGTTTCCCTGTTTGATCACTTATCACTGCTGAGCCTCTGCCAGAGCCCAAATCATTTGGGTTTGTGTTTTGGCATTTAAAATTGAGAATTATCTACTGTGTCTCTGTCAGCACAGAAAACCAGGCTAGAAAGGAGGGAAGAAGAAACTACTGAACACCAGCACTAACACAGAAGACTTAAATTCCTGGTATGTAACACTGATTTCAGGTGTTCGTTTTCTCCAACTGAAAAAAGGTCTGAACAGCTGAGTGCTATCAATTTTAAATCATTAATTATAAAGAGTTAAAATAAGTGGTCAGGAAACCACATCCCTGGCCAAGCTGTGGTTTTGTGTAGGTTTTTCACCACTGTAACAAGAGGATTTTCCACTGGAGGTTGAGGAAAGGGACTGTCTCCAGCACCTTCCCCTTGTTTTTGCTGCTGATGGTGTGAGCTCCCACGAGGACAGTCTGCCCTGAGGAGTCCACACTCTGAGGACACGAACTCCACTTATCCTGGGGAGGTTTAGATTGGATGTTAGGAAAAATGTCTTCATGGAAAGGGCTGTCAGTCTCTGGAAGGGGCTGCCCAGGGCAGTGGTGGAACCCCCATCCCTGGAAATGTTCACCCACCCACACGTGTGGGTGTGGCAGTTGGGGCCGTGGTTTAGTGGAGAACAGGGTGTTAGTGCTGTGTTGACAGCAGGACTTGATCTTAAAGGTCTTCAAACCTTAACAATTCTACGACTGTTCTCTAATCAGACAAGGCAGGAGGAAAGCTGAAACCCTCCTCCCCTGCCTTCCCACCCCAGGGCCAGGTCACACCACCCAAAATCAGACCTGCTCTATAGCCAGTCTTAAAAATAGTGCATCCTGAGCTTCTGGGTGTTTGACTTGTTTTGCAATAGCTGTCTTTAGCCTTTCTGCAAAGTCTATGAATGGTTCTGTTGGTTTCTGTTGTACTTGTGTATATGAAGGTGTATGTTCGGCTGCCTCAGCGATGGTTTGAATAGCTTGGAAGGCCAGATTTTGTCAAGTGTCCAATTCATTCATAGGAATCTTGGTTTGGGCCTCATTGGAAATATAGGGTCCCACTCCACAGAGCTTGTCACTGTGACCGCCGGGCGTTCTGGAAACAAACCCCCACAGCCCCTCAGAGCCGACCCCACACACAGGGAGGTTACTGACCTCCCAGGAACACGCTGTGGGCGTTTTTGATTTACTTTACTTCTAAACAGCGCCAGCACAAACAATCTATAACAACACCACATAAACAAATACACAACAACGCCCGATTTCGGGTCGCTCCGGTCCCGCTCCCAAACCCGCCAGCGGGTTTGCTCTCCCACACCATCCCAGCAGGGACTTACTCATCGATGGCGATCTCCGAGGGGATCTCGGACCAGAGCCGGGCGTACTTGACGGGGGTCACCTGCTCCTGGGGGTCCCTGTCCACGTGCATGTGCAGCATGAGGCGGCAGAAGGAGGCGCGCAGGTCGTAGGGCAGGTTCTCGTCGGACATGCAGCGCAGGATCAGGTCCACGTCCAGCTGCCCCGAGATCTCGTTGATGGCCAAGTACTGGCGGTCAAGGCACATTCTAGCAAAGAGGTTCAGCTGGTACCTTCAGGGGGGAAAAAAGGAAAAAAAAAGAAAAAAAAAAAAAACCTTGAAAAAAATACTTGAATTTCAGTAAGTCTGAAGTTCACACTTTAATTTCCGGTATGCTGTAAAGTACAGGAGAGGGGTGTGGTACTGATACACTCATGGATTAATAAAAATAGTATTATATTTTCCAGTAATACAAATAATGCTTACTGTGGAAAGGATAAAGTGCTTATCAAATGGTAACAGTGGAAGAACAGAATAAAAGGAGGCATCATTTTCCCTGATGAAGCATCACAGAATCACTGAACCACAAAATGGAAGGGACCCTCAAACTCATCCAGTCCCACCCCCTGCCATGGGCAGGGACACCTTCCACTAGCCCAACCTGGCCTTGGACACTTCCAGGGATCCAGGGGCAGCCACAGCTTCTCTGGGCAACCTGTGCCAGGGCCTCCCCACCCTCACAGTAAATAATAAGCAATGCTCTCTAGGAAAGGTACAACAGAATCCAAACAACACTTTAGGTAACTCAGTTTAAACACTGTATAAGGCCAAACACTTCTTACAGATGCTGAAGTCACAGTTGGTCACTGAGAAAACAACACAGATGGGTAAAGATTCATTAAAAATCAGATGTTTGATTATACAACTACTGAGCTCTGCTGCCTTCAGTGAGAGAATTGGTAAGGAAAGACTGAACTTAATTCCTAATCTTTTCAGTCCATGAACTGACCATAAGCAAGTGGCATTTGAGTTATACACATCCAACAGGCTGACAATTAACCTCTGGCCATAATGTGATGCCCAACACTCCTGAGTGTTCATACAGGTTGCTGGTCAAGAAAGGAATGTTTAATTGGAAGGAGACTCCTTTCACTCTCAGCACTCCCCATGGAATTTGATTAAATCATATTCTAAACGCTTCTTTTAAGCACGTTTATGAGGTATAACGTAGACTAAAAATAATGAACACTACCAATTATTATGCCAATATATATATACACCAATAATCAACACTACCAATTCTATTTAAAAACAAGTGCAAGGAAAAAAGTATTTGGAAAGCCTATATGATTTAAAAAATTTTAACTCAGAGGTCTCCTTTTGAGCTCCAACAGGCCCAAATAAAACCATGTATTAGGAATTCTCCTGCAAGAACCATTTCAATGGAAGAGGTAATGCAAATTAAGACAGCTATTAAAAAAATAATTTAGTACTTTCTGCATTGCCACAGCTGAGTCAGTCAAACAACTCCCAGGGGTTTCTAACCCAGACACAGGAATTTGGTCTGGGCTGAAACCTGATCTCACACTATGCCAAGAGCTCAGTGCCTTGTCAAGTCATCTGGAAACATCACTCCATGTCAGACCCTGCTCAAGGCACGGCCTGGGCTGCACAGAGCAGCTCTGCACATCCACCACACCAACCCTGAGGCACGTCCAGAACTTCAGAGTTGTCCTGCTCAGGACCACAGGACCACTAAAGGCTTGGAGAGAAATGCAGAAGGCAGAGAGAACAGCAGTGACTCCTGAAAACCAAAAGCAAAGCCACGTGCACACCCCAACCCTGTTCTTCCCACAAGTGGTTATTCACCCCAGCTCCCACCTGAACACAATGGACACCACACCTGTGCTCTCTTGACTCCCACTGCCAGGAAACCGAGCAGGAACACGGGCACAAAGTGCTGGGCAAATTCAGCACCTGAAGCCTGAACTCTTTTTTAAATCAGTTTAAACTTGCTCAAGCTGATAACTGGACTTCCCACCACGAATAACTCTGTGCTTTCAGCTCTCACTTCAAAGTGACTTCATCCTCCCTCTCTAGAGGCCGTTTTGTCTGTGAAACCAGCCCCTTTGTCCCACAGCACACCCTGCAGAGCACAGGCCTCCCCACACAGCCCTGGTGAACTCTGCCAGCCAACTCCTGCGTGGTGTTCACCTGTAGTAGCTGAGCACGTCCCGATCCTCCTTCTGCCCTTCCTTGGCATCCTGGGCCAGCTCTCGGATGCTCTTGCTGCGGATCTCCTTGTTGCTGTCTCTCCAGAACAACCACACTTCTTCCTCGTCTTCTCCAACGTCCAGGGCGTTTTCCCCACTTGACACTTCTTCGAATTCGAAGCGGGAGAGGACCAGCCTGCAGGAGGAGGGGGGTCACATCCCACACTGCCAGCACCCAGGCACCCCTTTGCAACATTTCAGACACCTGCTAAAATGGGGAGCTACAAGGAACTGATTTTATGATCTCGCCTGCATTCAAAAACACAGATTTTATTCCTCAACTCTGCCAAGTAAAAGCAGAGTAGTAAAAGCAGAGTAAAAGCAGTTACTCCTGCAGCAGTAGCACTTTACTACATAAAATCATTGGGGCTTATTAGGAGTTTTAGGTTAGAGTGAATTTAGATTATAAACATTCCATTCAGTCTTGAAAAGACAAACATTTCAGCTCCTTTCATTTGAAGAAACTAAAGAAACAAGGAAATTAAAGGCACATGTAACTGACTTTCAAAAACACCTTTGCAGACGTGGTTCAAAGATCATTCCATAGTCCAGGAAAAGATCTGGCAAAGAAAAATACCTTTAAAAAAATTATTAGTTCTGTATCCTGTAAATGCCAATTGGATCAAAACTTTTTTCTGGCTTATGTGGTGGAATAACCAGAAATAAATCACCTGCTGATACTAAAAGGGCTTTTGGGGTTTTTAGTTCTTCAGCAAAGAAAAAAATTGCACATCTGAAAAAACTCAAACTAAATATACAAGGATAAGTATGAGTAAGTGATGTAGCAACACTGAGTGCTGGTGGAAATAAATACAGCCTTTATGATTTCATGAAGAGAATCAGATGTGCAAGAATACTCTCACCCATTTTTGTTTTAAATACTACCTGGCTTCCCTTTCACAGCATTTTGATAATGGTTATCTATTCTCTAGTGTATATATTGAATAAAGACATCTTTATCAAAGACAAGCAGGACCTGGTGCCTGCTATGAGGCCTCAGCAGTGGCAGGGCAGTGCTGAGAGCTGGAGACCAAGATCCAAACCTCAGAGGGAGGAAAGGGTGGCAGGGATGGATCAGGGGCTGCCCCACTGCCAGCTGAGCTCCCTCCCGAGCTGGTGGAGGCCAGGCTGGAGCCCAGAGCAGGATCAGGCCCACGGGAGCCTGCACCCCTTCCTGCAAAGCCTGTCTCCTTTGGATCAACCATGAGACAGCTCCAAGATTTCTGCCTGCAGGGCTGAGAACACCCCTGACAGACGTTTGCTGTCGTCAGTCCCCGGCTCCCCTGTGTTTGAAGAGGACCCCGCACACAATTCCCTGCTTCCTCTAGACGTGCCAGCAGAGTGCTCAGCTTTGAAGCACCTTCCTTCTGTTTCACACCAGGAAAACCAGCTCTGCAGGCATTAACTTACTTGGTTTCAATGAGAATGTCTGCATTGGCTGGATTCAGCACAGCTTTACAAATCAGCTCCTGTGTCACCGGAATAGACTTGTTCATGGAAACGCACAGATCAGAGAGGTAATCCAAAAACCTGGTGGGAAACATGAGCCAAAGGGGTATCAATCACTGGGGAGATCTAGACTGAAGCAATCTCCATTTCAGGAAGAAAACAGTCAGAGCTCCATTTGAACAGTGCAGAGCAGGAGTGCTGCCCGAGGGGAGAAGGAATGGAGTGTCAAAACAGAAGGAACTAGCTGTGCTTCCTTCTGAGCAAGCTGGCAGGTACAGACTTTTCTCAGAAGGAAAAGGGTAATTACATACTCAAAAGTGCAGCTCTCACCTGGGCTCCCTATTTTTCCTCACGAGACTCACGAAGGTGTCAATCTCAGCAGCTGTGATGTGCTTCTCCAGGAGCTTGCGGTTGTTGTGGAGCAGGGCTGTGATGGTGTCCTCGGCCAACACGTCGTAGCCAATCTGCTTCTGCATGAAGCCAAACTGCTTGGCAATGTATTCCTTCAAAACACAGAGGGAAGGAGGAGGGGGTTGTAACTAACCCTCAGAATTTAAAACAATAAGAGAAAACAGTAGGATGTTCATCAATACCAACATCCCAGGGAGCGAATGGATTAGATCCAAACTGTTCTTTTGAAAGAAAGCAAATGACAGACAAATTTAACACCTCCCTCCCTCCCTCCCAGGCTAGATACCAGCAAGGCAGCTATCCTTATCTGAGTTTGTTTTTAATACATGGCAACAAAACTGAGCAGCCTTGATTCACAGGACAACTTTCAGCGGAGTCTGTAGTAAGCGAGAACGAAGAAAGTCTTGTAATTCACCTGGATGTGACAACTAGAAATCTAGAAATTCTGTTGTTTTCTTAAATCCCACTTGGAACCAGTGCTAATTACATTATAGTCTCTGGGAGAGATGAAAAAATCCAGATAGGATAAAACTGAGCCATCCCAAAACTTCTTGCTGACTGTACAACCAAGTACAGCAGAGCAGGGTTTCATTAACAGGATGCAGCCTTTTTGTTTTTTTCAGAGCACATGAACAATGCTGGTGCCATTGAACAGGACAGACATATTTCCAACCTGATTCTTCCTGTAGTCCTGCTGGGAGTGCCTGAGCACCCTGTAGCAGAGCCTGCAGATGTGCCTGAAGGGTGCGTGGCGCTGGTCCCCCAGCTCCTCCAGCCGCAGCATCGGCCCATCGCCGCTGTCCGTGAACGGCGCCTGCAGCAGCTTGAAAATCTGGATGGTCATTAAAAACAAAGACACAGCCCCATGAGGCACTGCCTTACCTGGGTAAAAACAGTGCAAAAGCGGTGTCTTTAAATATCTAGAGGTACATGAGAAATCCATGGCAGTCACCAAGCTCCTGGGCCGTGGAGCAGCCTGGACAGAAGATGTTGGTCACCTTTATTCAACACCATATACTCTAATTTTTCCTTCTGGCAACAGTGGGCCTACAATCCCACTCCCCACAGCCTGCTGAAAGCTGGCAACTCAAAGGATCTTTTAGTCCCAATAAACTGGGACCAAAATTTCATAGAACCACAAAGTGGTTTGGGTTGGAAGGGACCTTAAAGCTCATCTCGTTCCACCCCCTGCCATGGGCAGGGACACCTTCCACCAGCCCAGGCTGCTCCAAGCCCCCTCCAACCTGGTCAGGTTCTCTATTAACAAGTTCTCTTTTCCAAAAACCCTTCTTGTAGGCAGAGTTTAGAGACAGCCCACCTGCTTCAGAATATTCTGTTCTCTCATCAGCTTTTGCCGTTCTCTGTTAGGTTTAGAAAACACCACTTCAAGGACATCTTGTCCAGAATTAGTTCCACCAGTAACAAAGTAGACCAAATCCTCCAGCAGTTTGGTAACAGATCTACAGAAAAGCCAGAAATTGTTAACACCAGACTGCAAATTCTGTGTGTTAAAAGAACAATGCCAGGGTAAGTTTACACAGCTTTCTAAATGCTAAGTGAAAAATGAGCATCAATTAGAGACTGGATGAAGCTCAGAGGTTTGTACAGAACTTAAAATTAGGAACTAATGCTCCCCCATTGCTACAGCCTCAGGGTCCAACAGCTAAACAAGAGCAGCAGTAAGACAAGAATATCACTTCAGGGCAACTCTACTCTTGCCAAGTTCTATTTGGCAGCTCTTTCAATTGTCAGAAACAATAAATCAGGTGATAATCTCTGCCAATGCCAAGTAAAAGGCCTTGGCTGTGGAAGCACACGGGCCCTGGTCTGACACAGCCACCTCTGTGCTCTTTTTGTGTGGCCACATTTTCACAGACACAGTCAGAGGATTTGCAACAAGTCATATGTTCAGTCTTCACAAGATGGATTAGGAATTCCCACACTCAATTTGCAAAGGTATGCTGGGGATTAGTCCCCCAGGCTCACAACATTTCTCATGCTCTCACTTCACAGAGGACAGGGAGGGCTGGACAGACCAGGCCTGAGAAACTCCATTGTCCACACGACAACAATGAAACCACCAATTTTTTAAAATCTCATCAAGGAGGAAACCAAATCCCTGTTCTACTGCATACACAGATAGAATTTTCAAAGGAACAGTTACTGGGTAAAGGAAGCAAACTATGTGAACCCAATTCTGCTTTCCTTACCTTCTTTCATTCTGGGTTATCGTTCCCTTTTCCAACTTGCCAGCAATGGAACCTAAAACCTTACTTGCATCATTTGCAAAATCCAAGTCCCGAACCTCTGCAGGTGACACTGGTACTATAGCAAAAGCTTCTTTGTCCTCCTTCACTGGAGAGGTACCAATCTGAAACCCAGACAAGTTTTATCATCAAACCCCAGGGCAGGAACAAAGCTGTGGTTCACACACCCGGTGATAACGAAACAGGAGGAAAGCCCCACCCTGCTCACACAGCATGAGACTACTGCTGAAGCCAAACTTTGAGAACACTACCCCTCTGTGCAAGCTGAAAGCTGCTCCTAAACCCAGAGAAACAGCAGGTGAGATGGCAAAACGTTGTACACAGTGGTAAAAACATCCTCCTGATGATGACTGTTGTGCAGTGGACATTGAACAGCATAACTGGTAAACTACCACAAAACAGAACCTTTAAGAGCAAGTGTTTTGCATGGGCACTGGTCACCACTGTTACATGCTTGGTGCGTGACAGACCCAGCATTCCCAGGGACTGGAACTCCTGCCAACATCACCTTTGTGGAAACACAGGAATCAAGGGATGTGCTTACATAAAGTAACAGAACTTACTTTAAGCATCACGGGTTTCTCCTCTTCTTTATCAATAGGGATATTGGTGCTGTGAACCCAGGTGTTGGTGCAAAGGTGCCTGAGCCTGACATAGGAGTTCCTGAAAGAAAGCCAAGAGTTCCAGAGCTGAGTCAGCTCCCCAGCCAGGGAATCTTCACATTGTTCGGATTGCGAGATGTTGGCAGGAACAAGTGGAAAAGAAGCGTCATCCCCATCCATGCTGCACACCACAACAGGAATAACATTCTTCTTGCCTCAGTTCATTCTATAAATTCACCTCAGGAAGTCTTCTGTAGCGAAACAGATTCTGCTTTAAAACAGAACCACATCCACATTGTGGTGCTGTAACTCAGCTGCTGCACAGCAACAAATTAAACCTCTTCCCATCCTCACATTTCCACTGATAGGGTGTATCTGAGCTGCCAGCTTCCTCCCTCACCCTTGGAGCTTTCAGCCCAGAACTCCCCGGTATCTTTATTTTGGAGTATCTGATTTAGAGAGTTGCTACAGTAGGTGAAACAAATTTGCTGTGCTTTCTCAGTGGGAACAGACAGCAAAGGGACATCATGCAGATCGTGTGTCTTTGAAGGGTTCAGCATCTTATAAGTAGGAAGATGTACCATATGAACAGTAAAGAACATGTAAACAACAGAGAATGAAGTGCTAAATACTTGATATTACATCTTAACTAGCTTAATACAGACAGGTCACAGGAATGGCTTGACAGGACACCCAAGGCTTTTAGTCCCAGGTCGTTCCCTGACAAGGAAGTCACTTAATCTCAATTTTCCCATCTATAACACGATGTTCTCATCATAACTCATTTGTAAAGTACTCATAACTCAATTCCAAAGCACTAAAGTGAAGCTTCAGGCATTTTTAAAGTATCTTTACAGTGACCTGAGGAAGAACTTAATTCCGAAGGATAGAAGCAAACAGCGTGAGGCAGCTGTAAGTGCACAGAAGCCCCGAGGTGCAGAGCAGAGCGAGCCGTGCCCGTGTGGGCCGTACCTGGGGACGAGGCTGTCTCCCCCGCGCAGGGTGGTGGGGTCCAGCTCGAAGATGGAGGAGATGTCGTTGCCCTCGGGCACGGACACCAGGGAGTAGGCCATCTTCTCCTGGGCGCGCGGGCCCCGCCGCGCCGCGTCCTGCTCAGGGTCCAGCTGGGAACGACACCCCCACCCCGGTCAGGCCCGGCCCCCAGAACCACTGCCCAGCCCCAAACACCTGGGACTGCAGACGTGGCTCTGCATCACCTGCAGAGCTGCAGGACACGGGGCACACGGGCGGCTGCTCCCGCCGAGCACTCTCTGCTTCCCCCGCTGCAACTGGGGAGGATTTCTGGCTCACAGCCACGGCAAACCCCACATCACGGACATTGTACCTCACACACAGTGCCAGAAGGGACAAGAGCCCCCAGCCACTCGCCCCACACACACTGGGAACTCTGACTCTGGTTTCAGGTGACCCACATCTGCTGAGATCCCCACCCCCGACACCACCAGCTCCTCACACAGATTGCAATTATCCCTCTAACAAAGTAATTAGTTAGAGCTGCAAATATAAAAACCCCACACACAATGCACCAACAGTCTTGCTGGGAAATAACCACCTTCAGCAGCAAAAATGGGACTGGCATCTATCAATCCCAGGCAAGAGAAACAAAGAGCTAATCAAGGGGTTGGATGTCTTGCTGTTCACACTACGGCCTGTGGTGCTCTCAAGCACATGTTACAAGGGCCATGGCACCAAAGGGATCTTTATTCCCAAGGTGCTGGCAAATCACCAGCCCCCTTCAACAAAATAAAGATACTGACACCAACTGGACAAATCCCTGGCTTGTCAGATGAAAGGACACGAGGGTAGGAAAAAATGAAGATTGACTGAGAAAACGGAACAACAACTTTCTCCAAAACCTTCCCTAGGGCACTCCCAGCCATCACTAGTCCATCAGTGTCTGGCACACAGGAGCCAGCTGTGCATGTACAACCATCTCCACCCTGGATGCAATTTTCAAGGTGATTTATCCGTTTCTCTGGGATGGTGGCACCAGTGGAGGGAGGCACCCAAAGCAGTCAGCACTCAGTCTCTGTCTTTCACAGTCCTGGCGGAAGGCACTGCAATCCTTAAACATATGGGAAAGGTATCCAGTGTTGCTTGTGCCTCAGGATACTCTGAAGTTCACATATTTGCAGTCAATGAACTTGGCTGCAAAGCAGTAACATTTCAAGTCTGATTTTGCACATGGGAACAGGCAGCTATCTGTATGGAACCTAAATACACTTTGGGAGTGTGCCTTCGAGGGAAGAAGCAACTCCAGGAGTCCATCTGGAGGCTTCACACCGGGAGAAATTCGCTCACTTGGAACGAATTCTCCGAATTTCAGCTGTCTCCCCATCCCCACAGCAAGGGGATGGAACACAGCAAGGAGCACAGCTGCTCTGCTTTCAGTTTGTACTCCAGGACACAACTGGTCACTTAGTGAAACTGTGGCAAAGCTGAACAGTGAACCAGAAAGTAGGAAATGGGGCAATTTAGGGAGCAGTGAAACTTCAACCCCAAGGCTGTGACAACAGCAGCCCCCTTTGCTGCTCAAAGGCAGAACTGGCACCTCACCCATGCCCATTTAAACCCCTTCTGGTACAGCTCCCTGAGGGATAAGGAGAAAACAATAAGACACAGAGCTGTGCACAGGAACCCTGTAGACAGCTCACATTTGGAGCAAGCTGGAGTTTGGATAAACTTGGATAAAGCAGCCTACACCCTCCTGTCAGTAGTGAATGTTAGAGGATGTGGTGATGTCACGTCAGAACTGAATTATGTGCTCCTGATCCTGTTCTTTCTGGTCTATTTTTGCCACCTAGTGGTAAAGAGACAGAGCAGGGAAAAGTCAGGAGAGCTCTGAGTGCATCAATGTTATCCTGCACATCAGAGGAGGATGGATGTCTACCTGAAAGACATCAACACTGATTAACTTCCAGAAGTTGAGCCAACAGAATAGCTCAATATTGGATCCCACTCCCACCCCCCTCCCAAACAAAAGCTATGGGTGGGTTTTTGTTCATATTTTTAGTATGTTTACTGCAGTTGAGCAGCCAAATGCCACTAATCAGGATAACAGCTCAGTATCTGGGGGCAAGGGAAGCGTTTTAACGGCCAGGCTCCAATGACAAATCCTTTTAGGAGGAAAAATCCAGCCTGCAGGATTTCAAAGCATCACATTTATCTCAAAAAGGGGAGGAGTAGCTCTTTGTCATCTCCAAATGGAGCAAATCTTCCATAATACAGGATAAGTGACCAAGAAAGCTGCATAAGCCTGTGATCAAACCCAACTAAAGAAACATAATCCACAATGGAAAGTGCTGTTCCAGTTTTCTCTGTTTTCAGTGCTGGTTCCCTTTGACACCAAAGAGAAGCTTCTGTCAATACAAAGCATCACACACTCCATCTTTGACACAACAACATTTACTGACAACACCACAGACTTGCTTTCACAGGAAAATCAGAGGAATGGCACTCAGATCACCCTCATTCCTGCTCTCTAGACCCGTATCCTGTTTTCCTGTGACAAGTACAACGAGAGGGAATTTGTTTCTTAAACAAGGAGGTCAGACAAGTGACAGGCACAGCGCCGTGGGATGTCCCCTCAGGGACACTTCCCACCTGCTGTCAGCTGGAACAACTTGCTTTTCAGACCCACTCAAGACAGTGCTTCAAGGAAACAAAGGTTTAAGAAACAGAAGACAGAAAAAGAGATGCCACAAAGGGGGGAGGCGAGGGGAGGGGGTTCAGGTAATGTGTAAATTCAGCTGCAAGCGCATTGTTCTTCTCTAAAGCCTAATCCAGTTAATATCCACTCCTCTGGACAGGCCTTAAGAGCCTTCAGAGCATCCTCAGGTTTTTAGTTTCTTCACTACCAAGCCTGGCCCAGCTCTGCACTGCCCAGGTAAACCCTGGGCCTGTGCCAAGCCCTCCTCAACCAGGGGCAAGATCATACTCTTGCCTATACTTACTGAGGATTGACACTCCAGGTCATCTTCCTCATAGTCAGGGTTTACCTGATGAAACAGAACCACAGGCACGTCAAAACTCCAGCACAGGTGGAAGTGGGAAACAACCTCAGCACCAGCTAAACTCGTGTTGTTAAAAATCCCTGCACTGCCACAGCTCCACCAGGCATGCAGGACACACTGCCCAAACCCAGTACAGCTCATCAGGCCCAAAAATTCAGAATTAAATAGTCTGCGAACACGCAGAGAGATTTAGTTGTTCAGGATAATCACTACAGTAGCAAGAGTAGAGAGTTAACAAGTTTACGTTTGGGGTTTTTTTAAATTCCAAGTGGAATTTCCAACTAGAAATTAACTGGCTGGGTAGAAATCTTTTGGAACAAACACTATTCTAACCAGGGATCAGGTGAGCCATTTCCTCTGGTATATTCTTGCATGATGTAAGACCATGTTTTTGGTTTGGCTGATTAGAAACCCCAAGATTTACTGGAAAAGCTCTACACTGGATCACTACTGAAAAGGATTTTCAAGTGTGCATGTGACAAAATGCTGCTGGTTTTCCAATCTGCTTATCAGATGAATATAAAATGGGATATTTTCTTTATCTGCAGTTCTTTCACACTGGTGTGAAGTCTGGCTGTATTTTCATTTTATACTCAGTTCTACAATTCTGCTCAAAAATCAGTGAATCAAGAGAAATTATCAACAGTTGAATTCATTTTCCCCCCAAAGGCTCTCAGCCATTTACCATTTATTCATCTGTTAATAAAGTCATCTTGATTCTACTGCCCACATGACAGGATACTATTTAGTGTCTATTCTCTGCAGGAGAAGCTACTGCCTCTAGAATTCGTACAGGAAGTAAAATCAGCTCCAGACTACCCCAGACCATGGTATTCTTTGAAGTGTCTTTCACCTCATTTCCAGCCTTTAGCATCTACTTTGGCATTGACCCGAACGACCCCAACGCCGCTGTCCCGCTCCCCTCCCCGTGTCTGCTTTTAGGGCAGGAAATGACAGGTTTGCAGAAAGTGTCAGAGGCAGGAAAGGCTGTGTGAGGGAGGGCAGGGCCCCTCGGCCCCCTACCTCTGCTGCCAGGTAGTGCCCTGTCGCCAGGTGCTTGAACCTGAAGAGGCTGTTCCAGTATCCGGCGCCGCCGCGGCAGGGATCGTGCTGCACCACCTGCCAGGGGGAAACCATGGTCAGGGCACGGCACAGAGCCCTCCAACAGCACCCACCTCACTGCACGGGCAGCTGGGAGCAAACAGAGCTCCAGGACAGGCAGACCCACCGTTCCCCCCTGGACACACAGAGCAGCCCATGCCCTGAGCCGGCTGCCACGAGTTCAGTTTGTCCATCGCAGCAGGAAGGTTACGGTGCAGGCTGGCAGAGAAGGAATTCAAGAAGGTGCTTTACATCTACATGTGGTGCCAGGTCTTTAAACACTTCCTAAAGCAATGCAACAAATCCTTTACTCTTTCTGGTCTGATTTTTGACCATCTCAAAGCGGGTGAGGGAAGACACTGGGAAATATTTCCAATGCAGCTGAACAAAAGAAGAACAGTTCTATTTACTCCCTAACCTCTGGGGCAGGCAGAGCCTCCATCACCTGATGATCTGTTACCTCCTATCAGGTGCCTGTGGATACATCTGCTTCCTTAGGGAGGACCCATCACAGCCCAGCTGTGCCTGGCAGAGCAGGGCTACCTCACCTGTGCCCACATTTGCCACCAGGTGACTGCACACACTGCACAGTCACCACAGACTGATGTGCTGCACCATGTCCAAGTAATGTGCATTAGAGTCAGGCTTTCATTTCAAATACAGGAGAAGCTGAATGTCAAAGCAGATACTTCTGGAAGGAGAATATAAACACCACCTACCCACCATTACAATTAATTTTTTGATTCTTACATGCAGCTCACATTTAAAATCATAAACCAACTCTAATAACACCAATAGATTGAGGATATTTTAAGAAGCCAGAGCTGGCCAAGGTGTTAGTCACTCTGTTTAAAAGCCAAGTAGAGAAAAAAAAAGCCAGTTCAGACAGACCAGCAAAGGGTTGCAGCCTCCTATCAAATGAGGATATGCATAATCACATTATTCCACACCAAAAATAGAGTGTTCAGTACACCCAGCGGGACAGTGGAAATTATAAGCTGGTGTTAAACTTCAGTGACTGGTAAGAAAATGACTTCATAGATGTTCCTCTGTCCCTCTTTTCTGAATTGTCAAGCACCTGAACTTGAGAGCTCTGTGTTGCACCATCAGAGAGCAGAACTCCATTGTGACTGTGCACAGAGACCACAGCCAGCAAAGGAATTTTAATTTAAACTCAGAACATTGGGAAGACTTCCACCTAAAAAAAGAATTCCAGATGCAGTGCTTTTAAAGAGCAGCAGTAATTGTTCCTACAAAGCCACCCCCAGCCTGGGTTACAGCCCTCACCTCCACTTCCCACAGGGCCTTGGAGCTGGTGGCAGACGTGGCCGACTGTCTGCCCGTGGTCCTGAGGAACACGTGCTGCTTCTTCCTGTGCTCATCACACGTCAGGAACTTCTCCTGCTCCGCGTGGAACAGCCTCACCACGTCCCCCTGCCAAGGCAGCAGGGTCAGCAGGGGCAGCACCCCCAGGGAGGGGGTTACAGGCAGGCAGGGCCCTGGGTCTCACCCCTTTGAGGATGTCGTCCTTGTTGTCGCTCCATTTCATGAAGAGCACGATCTTCCAGCTGGTGTTGCAGTTCACTGAGTTGACCTAAAGGGAGAACTGAACCCATCAGTCCCACTGTCTTGTGCCTCCACAAGATATGAGCCACTGTCTTGCTTTCTAGACCATTTTCACCAGAATCCTGCAGTCCTGGCTGTGTTACTCTAGAGAAGCAAAGCCCTTTCTGTACCTACTCCAGAACAAGGAACTTCAGAGCTGACTTGCTTGCAAGTCACAGGTACACATCTGTGCTGGTTTTGGCTGAGGGTGGATTTAATTTTCTTCACAGTGACCAGTATGGGGCACATCACTGTGCCACAACTTTTGATTTTGAAGGAAATCCTTACTTTTAGCCAGTCATGCAAAAGAGACAAACCTCTGCCAGCGCCCAACAGATACGACAAAAGTCTGTGAGCTCTGGTAAGTCACTGATCACCAAGATAACCATTCCTAAGCAATGCCACAGGTACCAAACAACTTGCTGGATTTCATAAAACGTGTACAAACAGCTCAGCTGAAGCACAGAGAGGTCTGTCCAGCTGCTCCAGCTGTGCCCATGTCCCCTCACCTCATTGCATCCCGGGTTATCCACGAGCTGATGGCTGCTGGCGTGGAGAGGCTGCCCAGCATTGACAGGATTCAGGACCACTTTGTCTCCAATGACCACCTGGAGGGAAGGGCAGCATCAGACAGAAATTTGCACACTGGGAAAACTCTTTTTCTTCCATTGTTTTAATGGAAGTGATGGGAGGAAATCACCTTGCTGCACTTAGGAGAGATGCCAGTCTGAGTGTTCTGCCAGGGTTCTGTTTGGTTCAGAATTTACCTCACCAAACTCAGCCACTGAGGCAAAAACCCCGGTGATGCTGGTCTCAGAGCCTTGCAGAAGCAGCAGACTGAGTTCTGGTGCAGAGGGGCTACAGGATAAATTATTGCTACTCGATAAAGCTCACTCTGTTTAGGTGCCAAATATATACCTGGCCTAAACCCCAGAGCACACTGACACTTATTACCTCCTGCTTTTAGGCAAATAATATACCCCAGCGACTCACATTTTGCAAGAAGAAAACCCAAGATTAAGAGATTAAAATGGCAATGCATTTAATCAGCACCATTTTTTCCAGATTTCCCATGAACAGGAACATTTGACTTCCTTATTACCTCATTCCTTATATCCGAAGTGATGATGAGTTTTGATTCTAAACTGAAAACACTGAAAATCAAGATGCTAATTATTTCTTCCAGGCCTCCTGAAGGAACTCAACATTTCCTACCATTTTGAATTGGGCAGGAACTGTGCAAGGCCAGCCTAATTAGGTCCCTTATTCCCTCCAATGTTAGATCATTCCACGTTTCCAAAATACAAGTTACCATAGCGATTTTCCTCCCCCTCATGACAGCATAGGAAAAAGGTTGTTCCTGCATCATCACGCACCGAGAGATCTGTGCATTTCATTAATTGCAGGGCAGGATTCCCAAGCCCAGCCTGGCCAGGCTGTGCCCCAAGGAGCAGGTGAGGACACTGCTCCCAGCACTTACGCTGTCTCCGATGGACCGCAGTTTGTAGAAGGGCTGGATGTAGAACCAGGAACCTTCATTTCCAGCTTCATCCAAGGTCACCCTCATTGCATTCTTCTCTAGCAGAGCTGGCAGCCTCTTATTTACTGTTAAGTATTTGTTACTTTTTAAGTGAAGCAGCTAGAATAAGAATCAGAGTTCCGTTCTAAGAATGCTCATCTTCCTCCCCTCAAGAAACCGAGCGTGCACGAGACAACTACATTTCTATGCAGGAGTTAAAACTAAATTATACACGAATATTGATGGGCTCAGGCACAATTCCACTCACAGATACAGTGCTACAGCACAAAACATCTTCAGTGAATCCAACCGTCCCTTCCCCAGCAAACAACAAACACTCAGACATATCCACGTCACTTTACAACAGCCAGCTCGAAAAACCCAGGACCAAAAGCTGTGAAGTGCTGGGGACTAAGTGGCTCTCTCTGTAAGAGGTAAAGCTGCTCCTATCTTGCTTTGCTTGGTCTCATTTAAGAGAAAATGTGACTATTCCTAAGGACTTTCCTCCTCTGTGGCAGTTTGTCATTTGTGGTGTCAGCATCTGACAGTGAGAGGTATTTAGTGTTGTGCACGTGCCACCTTCACGTGGCCAACTCTCAGGAAGGCTCCAAGGATTTCTGAAGAAAGCAATCAGTGGTGACACCAAAAATAAACACAATTAGCCCCTAACAAAAAAATGACCTCATCATAGCTGTACACCCAGGCCCTGCTTCCCAGAATCCCACTGCAGGGCACGGTCAAAGCTGGCAACACCACAGATCCTGGCCATGAACTCCACAAATTTAACATCCACTGAGCAGGAATTTTGACCAAAATCCTCTCCAGCTGGCAAAGATGCTCACAGCCCATGGGGATCCCACTGCCACAGTGGCTCACTGTTCCCACAGCCTACCTGGATCACATTCCCATACTGGATGACTGTTCCCACAGCCTACCTGGATCCCATTCCCATAGTGGATGACTGTTCCCACAGCCTACCTGGATCACATTCCCACACTGGATGACTGTTCCCACAGCCTACCTGGATCACATTCCCATACTGGATGACTGTTCCCACAGCCTACCTGGATCACATTCCCATACTGGATGACTGTTCCCACAGCCTACCTGGATCACGTTCCCACACTGGATGACTGTTCCCACAGCCTACCTGGATCACATTCCCATACTGGATGACTGTTCCCAGCAGTTTCCTGTTCTCGGTTTCGTTCTGTTTCTTCTCCAAGTCGGCCGCATGCTGAAATCAAGGGATAATAATTTAACTCCCTGGGTTTTTACAAAAGGGTGGCCAAACACCTGAGGCTCTTGGAGAGTATTTCAAAGAACTGGAACAACAGTGAGCAGCTGAAATAGCCCAATTTCCTTTTTTTCCAGCTTCCAACAGCATAATTTCCAGTTCCCTTTTTCAATTGCTTAGGAAGACTGACACACATCATTTAAGTAATTAGGGTACAATTTGACAAAATTTTGGAATAAAATATGAGATGAAAAGCTCAGACAGAGTAGAAGGCAAGTACCTGTGGGGGGAAAAGATGAAAAGGGATGGGTAACAACTCCAGTCAGGAATTCTATGCTCCTTTCTACTGACTTCTATACAAATGGAAAGGAAAGAACTGCAACTTTGATTTTTTATTTTCCTCTGCCAACACAGGCTCCAACTCCTCTCCAGCCTGTCTTTTTATAACATCTCCAATCCCCCCACCCTGTGCAGCAGGATCATTGAGAAGATGTGTACAAATGCCCACTGCAGCTCTGGGTAACTGAATTTCCAACTCCCAGCACCAGAGCTCATCCTTCCCGAGGCTGTTGGATACTCTGTGCTACAGCTGAGCATCCCTGTATCACACCAACAGGGGAATAAAAGGGAAAGCCCCTCCAAAACTGAGTGATTAGAAGAACACATAGTAATAGTTAATAATTTATAACAAACCTCTTGCACTTTTTGCTTTAAAAGTGAGTTATTTTGCCCAGGTTGTTATTAAAACCATTTCATTTGGTTAAGAAATTCTCTCTCACTTTAGATGAAAGATGATTTTAATTAAAAATAGAAATCTGTATTTGCTTTAACTGCTATCTGGTGGTAGAGGGTAATTTAAAACTGAATTTGTTAGGAGGCTAAGGATCAAGGTTTATGGTTTGGGTCTCAAGGACTATGGCAGGTCCAGTTCTCTCCTGGAGGAGAAAAGTGCCCACAGTTCCTCACTGTGGTGAGGTGAAGTACCAGTAACACAGGACAAAGCTCAGCTACCTCAAAGGAAGATTTCTCTGCTCACTGTTACAGAATTTCACCATTCCAGCTCACTCAAAATGTGCTATTTTTAGAAGCTGTGTTAGGTATCATAACTGGCTCTTGCTCCAGGAGAACCTGAGATACAGCTGCTCACTCAAATTCAAAAGTACACCCGGCAACGCACAATTTTCTCCTTAATGCTGAAATATAACTTTTTTTTTCTTGATTTCCAAGTAGTCTGTCAAGAAAGGATTTCTTTAAGACACCAAATCCCTCTCAACTACCAGCAATCACAGACAGGACTTCTCTACCTGCCACATTGATTATCAATACAGAAAATAATGTATTCCATGAAAACACGATTAGGACTCCGGATGTGCTTCCCGAGCACACACCAAACCTGACAATCATCCCAGAAGAAGCACTTCTCTGGCCACTAGATGTCAGCTCCTCAACCAGCACCGAGATGGGACCAGGGACAGACAAGTGTCCCAGATTTTAAATCCCTTAAATGGCATTAACTTAAAATAACCTGACCTCAGCACCGAGCGCTCCGTGGCACACAGTAAATTCCACCAGCAGACAAACAGAAGCCAAAAAAGGCAAGTGGTGATGAACCCATCTTGCATCATCGATTGGGCTGGAAATCAAAGGCACTGATAAAGAAACCTCCCCCTGGGCAGAGCTCACACCCCTGAGCACGTGGACAGGGCCCCACACAGACCACACGGCGGTTTGGTGCATCCCCCGTGCCGACACATGGAAAAGGTGACACGTGGGCCCAACGTGACAGGCAGAAAGAGAAGTTTGGATGTGAGTGAGGTACATGGCCCCCAATTATTTCCGAGCCCCAGGTCACTGATTCAGCCCGTCAGCCTTCGTGTCAGAGCGATGCAGATGAAACGATCCCCAATGACACTGAGAGCACTCAAACCCCGCCACCAAAACAAGCAGTTCATGGCAGGACATTTCTCTGCAAACATCACTCGGCCGGGGCTAATTCTGGAAAAATCTAATCCTGTATTTCCAGGACACTGGCACAAAAGGGCAAAGTGTCACATGAGCGGGGACAGATCCCAAACACCTGCACTGGGAAGGGAAGACAACTCCCAGTGACACTATAATCCAGGACAATTCCAAAGCCTTTTTTTTTTCCTGCATGATGCAGTATTTATACCATAATTTCTCCTAAAATCCATGAACTCTCCCCTTTCCTTATACACCAAAATAACCAACCCAGAATCCCCATCACTTCCAACCTGCTGCCAGTGTCTCCTCTTACCAACATGAGAAACACGGCCCAGGTGAGGGACCTCTGTGCTACAGCCAGTACCAAAATAGCTTTGTCCTTGCCAAGTTAATACTTCTAGCTTATAAAATTGTATTTTCAGAAGCAAAATGAGTCCAACAGTGGGTCTTTGTGCAGTGCAAGAGCAAGGCAGCCATATGGCAATCAGCAAGTGACACTCTCCTACGGGGCCATTCCGTATTTCAGGCTACAATGAGCTTAATATAGGCTTAAAGAGACTAAAAATACCCAAATTGTAATTTTGACATGAAGTACTCCAGCTATGTAATTTTAACATAAACATGGAGTTTATTTAACTCTAAAGTCAACAGATGGTATTTAAGTTAAGTTGGCTTTTTTTTATATAGGAACTCTAAAAACAGCAATCAACTGCCTTACCGAGTTTTCAGCTGCTGAATGTCAACATTTTACCCAGAAGATATTAAATACTGCGAGCTAATATGGAAGGAGAGGCTGGCTGGCCTTCTAATTACTCATAATTACCCATCAACCTTCACGTGCAGCAACAGCAGCTCTTGTTTGTCTGAGGAATCCCAATGGGTTGATCAGACCAGCAGCTCACGGTTTCCCACGTCGAGATGAGATGCCTGAGAATTCTGTGCAGTTGTTTCAAGGGTCCCATTTTTACGCTGTTCCCACCCAAAATGCCCACTTAGAGCCCCGTGACATTTAGCACAGGTTAATGACAGGAGCCTCAAGGGCCACCACGGCTCCAAAGCAGCACCATGGACACCAGCACTGGGGGACACAGACCTTGAGCAGCATTTTATATAAATGAGAGGATCTGACCACCTCCAAAGGAGTCCTGCACATTGATCTTTATGTACTCTGCTGGTGTCTCCCTGTTCATGGTGTCCAGTTGACTGGAAATCCTTGTTTAAATCAGGCTGGCTGAGTGCTGCTGGTGAAGAGGGGCCCGAGGGTGAACACTCACGTGCAGTTTATTGAGCAGCACGGCGTCCGTGGTGCTGTTGGCTCCCGGCTTTGCTGCCTTCCAGAACTGCTTCTGAGCCGAGTACCGGTTCATGGGACACAGCTTGAACAGGCAATCTATAAAAACAGGGAATAAACAGAGAGATGGCTTTAGCTACTCAAAATTATCTGGGCTTTTGCTGCTAACGCCGTCCAAATATTCCAGCGGCAAGGAAGGGTTTATAAACAAATTCTGGAAAGCTCTTGATCAGACAAATGCTTTTTTGAGCAACAGGAATGTTGCCCCATGAATGATTAAAAACTAACTGCTGCTGCCAACATCTGATGCAAGACCAGAAAATTTATAACTTGTCCCAGTCGAAAACAGTACCAGACTAAAACGGGAACACGTTCCAGTGCTTTCCCAGGCAAACACATTTGTCTTAGGCACTCTCAGCTTGGAGTTGCTGTCCTTCAGCAGGTACACAATGTCAGGTTGGGGGGCTTTGGTTTGGGGGGGAGTTGTTGCTGTTGCTGTCTGTTAAGTTTTTAAATCTAATCCCTTCTATTTCTAGGGAACACAGGACAAAAAAAACCCAGGAGAAATTCACCTAATAAAGTGGCAGCAGCATAAAACCCTCCCAAAGAAGAGCCTGCACAAGCACAGCCACTCAGGGCATTGCTCGAGGTGACATCAAAGCCCTCGGGGTATCAGGTTCTATGCCCAGTCCATCAACAGTTTATTTAACATTCTGCCTGGCAAAAGCCAGGAATCACAGCCCATTAGTCTTATTAAAAATACATTTCTGTATTAGAGATGCTAACTTATCAGCAATGAACCCAAATGAGCTGCAGTGACTGTTTCTCCTCCTCACGGTCTCCAAGCAACGGAACACGCAGAAAAATAAATTCAGCTATTCAAAGGCAGCGCCGAAAGTAGCAGCTCAGAAGTTCAACCAAAGTGCCAAAAGAGCCAGGAGGCTGTTCCCAGCCTCTTTGGCAATGACATGGATATAACACTTCAGGCCTAATCCACAGGGCCTTCATCAAGGTTCCTGGTGTATCCCTGCAGACAATTCTGGAAGTAGGAAGGTGAGGAGAGACCGACTTAGGGGTTTGTCTTCACTGCCTGGAAAGCAGAGCTGCTCATTGGCTGCCTGGTTAATGGACACTCTGGATTCACATCAACCAAAAAGGGAAAAATCCAATACTGAAGACAAGCCATCTCAGCTCTGCCAGAGGTTGAGACAGACCGTGGTAATTTTACCTCAGGACACCATTTGAGATGGACACGTTCACACTTCTAATGCCTTTCCTAAAGAAAAGCCCCATTTGATGCCACCCTGCCTGTCTAATCCATCCCCAAAGCAACACCTTTCACAGGAGGACAAAAAATCATCAAAAAAACAGAAGGTTTGGACTGGGAGAGACCTCAAAGCCCATCCAGTGCCACCCCCTGCCATGGGCAGGGACACCTTCCACCAGCCCAGGTTGCTCCAAGCCCCGTCCAACCTGGCCTTGGACACTTCCAGGGATGGGGCAGCCACAGCTTCTCTGGGCAACCTGTGCCAGGGCCTCCCCACCCTCACAGCAGGATGGTCTTCAAAGTCTGTCCTAAAAATTAACCCCACTCCTAACAGGGTGGATGAAGCAGCGGTGGCAGACCGTTGTTTCATCTCAGTGAGGCACTGACTGCCAAGTGGGTTGATCAATCTGTCCCAAACCAGCACAGGGATTCCTGCAGCCTGCTTGGCTGGGGACCAGTTCACCTGCCATATACCACTACACCGGCCCAGTATACCCACAGAGATATGGAAGGACCCAGGTACAGCACTGGTGCCCTTTAACAGTGACACTGGGGACAGACAGAGAGCTGAGGGCTCCTGGAAGGAGGTTTAACTGCAGCTCTCCAGAAACACTCAGCTCCACTTTGCCACCACCACCCCAAAGCTTCTGAGCCACGAGGGAAGCGCAAACCACACTTCCCAGGTTTGCTCTCTTCAACGGCTTCTTCCATTTACATAAAGATGATTCACAGAGATTGACAGCACAGAAGAGATTCAAAAAGCCACTGCGGGCTGGCACTTCAAACTAAGACTGCATTGTAAGCAACACACCAGTTATAAAATTTTCTATTTTTGCTGAAACCATCAGTTCACACAATGACAGCAATTAACACACAGAACTGCAGAGAAGAATTAATTGTATGCTAGATTTAGTCACAGTGAACTTCTTTCCATCCTCTTCAGTCAAGAAAGTTGTCAAGTTAGGCTTAACTTCTAAACTGTTAATGCAAGCAGCCCCCTCTCCTCCCTCAGGCACCAGGAGAGGTCTCCAAGAGTTTGACCTTGTCCAATGCAAGAAGGGAAAACATAACGTGGTTTTCTTAGTTTTCCATCCCAGTTACAAAGCTACAGATCTAAAACAAACAAGAAAAAGCACCCAATCTTTTCATTTCTAGTATTTGTTCCATGAAATCTATTTCTGAAGTGGTTGAGTAGTTCAGCTGTGCCTTACTCACTTTAACATGCCTGCCAAAGGCTGATTGTTCCTGAATGTAGTTCACCGTGGGTCGAACTACATCAACTTTAGGGTCAAACTACATCAACTTTGTGGTCAAACTACATCAACTTTGTGGCCAGAAGACTTTCAGCTCTCCAGGTCTCATGGGCTTCTATGTTTATAACATCAAGGATGTGCTACCTGAGCACCACCACGGTCAGGGATGTGCAACCCACAGTAGTGGTGACTGTGTAAGATGAATCAACTCTTCCCAGACATGATCCTTATGGAATTTAGGTCTAAGATCCCAAATGAAGCCAAAGCAGCCCAAACCACTGGCTCTCTGCTCTGATCAAAGATTCAAGCAGATTTTAGCCACATAGGAAAGGTGATAAATAAAGCAATTACTGCACAGTAACCACATCTTTTTATAGACTGTTTGTTGAATATTAACCAGGAAGGAATGCATTTTCCTTTCAGATCTTCATGATATCCAGTGAAAAATGGCAGAATTGCACAATGAGTAAGTATAAAAATAAAACAGCACGTCACTGTTGATGAAATGATGATACATCAAGCCTGAACACCCAACAAAGGTCCCGCAGGAAAAAGCGATTGCATAATCCTACACCACCCCACCAGGATGATGAATGTTACATGGGCATGTATTAAATGTGCATTTCAATGCTCCCAGGCTAAATCCTGCTCTCCTGTCAGCGATTCCTCTGCACGGAATAAAGCAAGAGGGAGCACGACTGTAACTGCACCCCATGAGGGATGAATGCTCTCCCTGCTGGGACACCGAGATCCCACGGGGGCTCTGCCACCTGCAGCTTCAGGAAATGTCACCAGCAAGGCCCGGCTGTCCCCTGCATGCACCAGCAGCACAGAGCAATAGTCACAACCAAGGATACTGGGAATGCCAGAAAACCCCATGTCCCGAAGTATTCTGGAGTTCATAGAATCATAGAATCGATTGGGTTGGAAAAGACCTCCAAGATCATCGAGTCCAACCCTTGGTCCAAATCCAGTCCCTTTACTAGATCATGGCACTCAGTGCCACGTCCAATCTGCGTTTAAAAATCTCCAGGGATGGTGAATCCACCACCTCTCTGGGCAGCCCATTCCAAGTTCAAACCTGCCAGCAACATTATTCCAACTACAATTCCTTCTCCTCCATGTTTTTAATTTTCTCTTCTCCCTTTTACATTCCCTTCTCCTGACTAGACCTTGCTCTTTTCCTACTCAGAACAGTCTCTAAACTTCCAACCCTTCCTGCCAGTCCAAGCCCAACCAGTCACATTCCCAATGCCCAATTTTTGCTCTCATAACACAATTAAAAACCTGACCAGGCTGACCATTTTCTGTCCTTTTTTTTTTTTTAAGTCACATTTAAGTAGTATGTCAAGATTATTACACTTGTCCAAAATTGCAGATAACAGGTTTACAGAGGCTGGAATGATCTGGAGAAGGGAATAAAGCATTTCAGAGCCCACCCAAGACATCATCACCTTCTTTCAGACCAAGCTGCCTAGAAATGCATAACTCAAACACTCCCAGCAATTCCAGCCTTCCCTTCAGAGGGTTTTCCCACCTTTTGGGGCATTAAGTGATGTCATTACATCAATCCTACTGCTGGTACACGAGGACAGCTCAGAAAGTTGCTGCACAGGCACTGCTGACACTCAAAGCTCTTCATGGTGCCTGTGCTGGTGACAGCTAGACACAGCCACTGTTACAACCTTCCACCTGGGATGCTTTGGGCTGGAAGCTCATCCATCCCACCCCCTGCCATGGGCAGGGACACCTTCCACTAGCCCAGGTTGCTCCAAGCCCTGTCCAACCTGGCCTTGGACACTCCCAGGGATGGGGCAGCCACATCTTCTCTGGGCAACCTGTGCCAGGGCCTCCCCACCCTCCCAGGGAGGAATTCCTTCCCAATATCCCACCTAACCCTGCTCTCTGTCAGTGTGAAGCCATTCCCCCTCGTCCTGTCCCTCCAGGCCCGTGTAAACAGTCTCTCTCCATCTCCCTTTCAGGCTCCCCTCAGGTGCCATCTCTGCTCCTGTTGGATCAGCTCAGTTCTGGAGCCAGAACACCATTTTCCTCCCTCTGCCATTCCCAAAGTGCCCAATTCTGAATGATCTGGAAGCACTTTCAGCCCCAGCCTGGTTGGTTGTATAACCCAGCACTCATCATTTTTTCCAAATCTCCACTCCCTATTTTAAGCATTTAGTAGAAAGTCTTCCCCAACTTTTCTGCAGTTGGAGGAAGCAAGAATCAAACACTTTGTTGGCAACAAAAAGGTGTGTCGGTATTTCGGTTTTTAAACCCAGACTCTACAAGATGCCAATTGGAGAAAGGTAAGAACCAAGAAAAATTACTCCCCCTCACAAAAAACATACTTTAGGGTGCTCTCAGATGAGGGAAATCTACAAAGATGAAGATCTTTAAATAAGTCACTTACAAATCCACTGAATATTTAACACCAACACAGCTGTTTCTTCGTTACTTGGAAAAAACCAAACTCCTCTTTGCACAGCAATACTAAAATTAAAAGAAAATTAGCAATTCCCTGTTGAAATTTATCGGTTTCTCTTCAGACTTTTCTATACTTAGGTACCTGATATTTCCCC